CTCTTTGTACTGTTGCGGTACTCTAGCTGATGTGAACTTCATTACATTTTGACAAAATAAATTGTAGTGAATAAAAGGATGGGAATCAAAAAGAAATCCCATTTTATTTATTTTAATTAAATGCCAAAAATGCACTATGTGAATCGTAATGTCCCTGGTATTATCTACCTAAAGGGAATAACAACTGGTGTGATTAGACAGTATAAATGCTAGGCACATTTCTCTCGGTGAAGCAAAAGAAATAGGTAGAATAATATGTTTCATATAATTGAAAATATAAGCAAATCCAAAGAAAGGATGGTTACAATAATTTGATGATAGAGGAGACACAGCATTTTTACTGCTAGATTAAAGTGAATGCTTTAAATTAACTGCAAACATGCTTTTCCCTCACTTGAAGAGCTTTTGTACCCAATGTCACAGACCTGTAAAAGATGGCAATCTACATTAAACTATTAATAAACGGGCGAGTGAGGCTAGCTGTCAGACCAGGCCAGGATTATGTGTCATATCTACAAAAAGATAAAATTAATAGCATTCAAAAGCTGTTGTTTCAATCAATCAACGTGTAATCCTGTAATATTACACACAATGCAAAAAAAGGGACTATTCCTATTTCTTCAGAGATATTTTGCAGACTGCATTATGACCTTTTCTACTGCTTCTTTGCAGAAACGGATATTTGATAAGTAGTTGTCCGTCGCATTAAACATCACTCTGTTGCTGCATTGCCAGATGGTGTTTGTGATGAATGACTTTAAAATCCCTTAAGTTGCTTTTGTTTTCAAATGTATTTCCGGCATAAAATTCAACTGCTGACAGAGACGCTGAGTGACACTGGTCCTGTGAATAAAATGAAGGCAGCAAGCCCATTCCCTTAACACTGACAAAATAAAGTCAACGTCCTCTCTCTTCAAATCCCTTGAATTGAAATGTTACACTGACCTTGTGATGGGTCACAACTGTTGCAAAACACTTAGGTCCTCAAAGGAATACACGGACCACAAAAATAGAACTGAATGTGTCGCTTGTGAATGTCAGCGTCTCAGATACAGCCACAGCAATGTCTGGACCGTGAACCAAAGCTTGCATTCAGCCCACAAGGGTTTTCTTTTTGTGAATAATTGTTTCCTTTATATTCTTTGAACAATGCCTTTAGAAAGATTATGTTCATGTATTTAAAATTTCACATGAGAATAACGGTTTTGCAGCATTAGCACAAAAGCGAGGCAGATCAGTAAATGCCAACCCTGAAGGGCTGAAGATGTGACTGATTAACTAACCTCCCTGAACTTGTATTATAAACTCATTGCACCAATCCCTTGGTTTAATTCTCAATGCAGAAATTGACATTGGAATGATCCTGTCAAAAGGCCTGTGGATGTTCTTCGACGTGTAAAGCAACAATCGTCATTTAATTATAGCTTGTCTTTCTTGCACTTCTGTTTTGGTTTAGTCAAATGCTAATGCTGTGAATTATACTGTACAACTATATACTCACTAATTGTGTTTATTTGTTTCTGATCATTTTGTTGAATTAGTAGAAACAGTGCAGTATATCATATTAGTTCACCCACAAGACACTCAGCTGTTACACTTTATATTATGTCCTGTGAATTCTTTGGGAGATAAAAGACGTTGCATCCAATGTGTTAGAGTGGTCGTAAAATAAAGAACCACTATCAAGATTGAAATAAAAATTGGTCACTATCTGAACCTGAAATTGATGACATCATCTGACTGTAAATGTGACATTTGATTACCAACAAACACTAAAACAGAAGGGCTTTGAGAAATTTGACACTGATAAGGCACTATATAAAAGGCAAGGATTATTATTACCATTTATTATTTGATATTTGCCAAAAATTGTGGGAAGATTTGAAAATTTTGTGGAAAATTATAGGGAGATTTGACAAATTTTAAGGAAAATTGGAGGGAGGTTGATTGTACTATTGAGGTACATTTTACTACCAACCTACATTTTATTCCTCCGTTTTTAACAGCATTGAGAACTCTCAGAGCAAGTAATGATAAGACTCCCTAACGTGCAGATCTTTCTACATGACTGAAATAAAACAACTTGCAGTTACATAATGCCTTCACGTTGGATAACGTCTTGGAGTGCCTCAAGATATTGATGCTCACCCGAGCCTTGATGGCTGGCAGACAAGCAGACAGAAAATCAGTGGACCTTGCATCTGCAGTAAAAGTGGAAGGGTAAAAAACGTGTCTGACTTCAGACACGTTTCGCCAGTTTATGACTGTCATTGAAACCTCTCCAAATTACATTAGATTGGCAAAATAATGCTGAGATTTGAGGCCAGTTTTAATCTGTAAACTCAAATCTAATGGGAACTGATTTATCAACTCATTTAATTTAGTCAGAGACCTTTATCCCATCAGGATTTGAACACAAGTCTCAGAGCTGAAAAGACAGTTTTCCAACTCATTGCAGCTCCCAGTCCCTGTGGTACTAGATCATTTTTACTTTGGTTTAATGTGTCTGAAATTATTTTTGTAATAACTGCTCGAAGATGTGATCACAGAAATAATTGGCACAGGTCTGGGTTATCAGTGAATTCTACGAATAGCTAATTATAGTTATAAGTCAGTTGCGTCATTTTTTGTTTTTCATGCTGTCACACATCTTTTTATTCACTTGCTCTAAAATACTGGTGTAAAACATAAGACTGAATCCAACTCTTTGATAATTTAATCTAACCAATGATGTACATATGGAGAAAATCTTGTTAAAATAATACAGGAAACCAAAATGCCTCGTGCTTCTGCAAACTAACTCTTGAGTACAGATGGTGTGTGACCTAGGGAAGAAAATATCTTGTCCAATAATAATGGTTTGAGGTTATCCTTTATCAAGTCCTATGCTACACACACAATTTTCTATTAAATTAATACAAAATTCAGGACGTTAGTCACTGTTGGGACATATATGTAATTTCCACACAGTAACCCTCAACAACAACAACAACAAGATTCCATTTATAAAGCGCCTTTCACGTCAGGAGGACGTCCCAAGGCGCTGCACAGTTGGGTCATGTAACAAAATTACATTTGTACAGTGTCTTTCACGTCGGGATGGTGGAGTGTGGAGGGCGGGGGGGGGGGGGGGGAGGGGGGGGAGGGGGAGGCAGGGAGATCGAAAGCCCAGTTAAGAAGAGGGTCTTGAGATGGGTCTTGAAGGAGGCAATAAAAATAAAGAACTTTAAGAATGTAATGGAATCCTCTTTGCATTGTCTTATATTTATCCATTTGTTATTAATAATAATCCTTGCATTTGATAACACCTTTCAAGTCTAGAGCCTGTCTCAAGGAGCTTCAAAGAATTTCCCTGTAAAGTGTAGTGACTGTGTATTATGTAGACAAACACAGCAGACAATTTGCACACAATGTCCCGCAAAAGCCACACAATTCTTTTGAAACCATCCACTTAATTTGCCCCAATTCCTTTCGAATACTGTCAAATCTGGCTTGTAGGATTCGCAAATCACCATAGGTTTCCTCCCAGCTGCCCAAAGATGCTGCAATAAGAGCCAATGGGTACATCTCGCGGGGAAAAAAAACAGCCATTAATGCCACATTGATTTAACTGTTTCCAAAAAAAAAGCTGCATTGATATTTAATTAAAAGACTGATATCGAAGGCTTTAAATGAAGCCATGGATCAAATACTCCCATTGCACCAGGTGACTGGCTGCCTTTGGCTTCTTTACTGCTGTACTGATGTCCTCTGTGGGAGCAGAGGGGGATATTGCTGGGTGTTATGTTGGATTAAGGCCGTGGAATTGCTTTGGTCCAAGTGAAATGTTAAACTGTTCAAGATTTTCCCTGCAGTATCTCTGACTCACTTCCTCTCTCTCTGTGTCTCTGTCGCTCTCTGTGTCTATCTGTGTGTTTGTCTCCCTCTGTGTCTCTGTCTCTCTCTGTGTCTGTCTCTCTCTGTGTGTCTCTGTGTGTGTCTGTCTGTGTGTCTGTCTGTGTTCTCTGTGTGTCTGTGTCTCTCTGTGTCTGTGTCTCTCTCTGTGTGTCCATGTCTCTGTGTGTGTGTGTGCGTCTCTCGCTCTGTGTCTGTGTCTCTCTCTGTGTGTCTGTCTCTCTGTGTGTCTGTGTCTCTCTCTGTGTGTGTCTGTGTCTCTCTCTCTGTGTCTCAGTCTCTCTTTCTCTGTCTCTCTCTCTCTGTGTCTGTGTCTCTCCCTCTGTCTGTCTGTCTGTCTGTCTGTCTGTCTCTCTCTGTGTGTCTGTGTCTCTCTCTGTGTCTGTGTCTCTCTGTGTCTGTGTTTCTCTGCGTCTGTGTCTCTCTGTGTGTCTGTGTCTCTCTCTGTGTCTCTCTGTGTCTCTCTCTGTGTGTCTGTGTCTCTCTCTGTGTGTCTCTCTCTCTGTGTGTCTCTCTCTCTCTGTCTGTGTCTCTCTGTGTCTGTCTGTGTCTTTCTGTGTGTCTGTGTTTCTCTCTGTGTCCGTGTTTCTCTCTGTGTCCGTGTTTCTCTCTGTGTCTGTTTCTCTCTCTGTGTGTCTGTCTGTGTCTCTCTGTGTCTGTGTCTCTCTGTGTGTGTGTCTCTCTGTGTGTGTGTGTCTCTCTCTGTGTCTGTGTCTCTGTGTGTGTGTGTCTCTCTCTGTGTGTGTGTCTGTGTCTCTCTCTGTGTGTCTCTCTGTGTGTCTGTGTCTCTCTCTGTGTCTGTGTCTCTCTCTGTGTGTCTATGTCTCTCTGTGTGTCTGTGTCTCTCTCTGTGTCTGTGTCTGGCTGTGTCTTTCTGTGTGTCTGTGTCTCTCTCTGTGTGTGTCTCTCTGTGTGTCTGTGTCTCTCTCTGTGTGTCTATGTCTCTCTCTGTGTCTGTGTCTCTCTCTCTCTGTGTGTGTCTCTCTCTGTGTGTCTGTGTCTCTCTCTCTGTGTGTCTGTGTCTCTCTCTCTGTGTCTGTGTCTCTCTCCCGCCTGGAGCTCAGGACAATGGGCGGCGGCGGCGCTCTCGACGTCTTTCTTCTGCGACGGAAGTGACGCGATTGAGCGGAGCCGAATGGCCTGAGCCCGAGAACATGGAGAGGGACAGTGAGTGAAGCGGCTGTCACAGCGGAGGCTTTTCATCAGCGCTGCCACCTCCTCCTTCATGTGGGGCTGATTGGAGGGGGGGATTGCGGGGGGAGAGGGGCTGATGGGGGTAATGGGGGGCTGATGGGGGGGAGTGGGTGATTGCGGGGGGAGAGGGGGGAAGGGGGTAATGGGGTCTGATTGGGGGGAAAGGGGGTAATGGGGGACAGGGGCTGATGGGGGGAAGGGGCTGACAGGTGGGACGTGTGTTGCAGGTGGGACTGAGTGACATTGTTTGCTGTTGATTAATAACTCTGATCCTTGGCTTCTCTGCTGCAGATATTGTTTACAGTAAGATTCCCCCAAAGGAAGCAAAACTCTTGAATGTTCAGGTAAATTGGTTTACCCCCAATTGCTGTTGCCCTCTGGTATTTTTATGCCGGTGCCCTTCAGAAGACCGTGTCTGGGTTACCTGGTTGATGTCTGTGTCCAAAATCAGTTCAGATATAACCTAAAGCGAACACTTGATCAGCTTCGGCTGAATGCACATTCAGGTGTAGAAGGCATGCTGTTTAGTATGGGTGAAGTTAATGAAACTTTATTAAAAAATAACTCTTGCATTTGATATCGCGCCTTATCCCGTGGCCAAGATGTCTCAAAGCGCTTCGCAGGATACACTGTGTGGGCAAAACACAGCAGCCAGTTGCACACAGCAATGTCCCAACAAACAACCATGGTGTGCGTAACCAATTTTATTTGAGGGATTGTTGGCCAGGACACTGGGAGAAACTCCCTTCTCTTTACAAATAGTGCCATGGGATCTTTAACGTCGACCTGAATATGTGGACGGGACCTCGGTTTAATGTCTCATCTGATAACTCAGCACATCCCCAGCACCTCGATGAAGGGTCAGCTTAATCATGTGTTTCCAAGTCCCGACGTGGGACTTGAACCCACAACCTTCTGACTCGGAGGCGAGGATGCTACCACCGAGACAAGCTGACACTAAAATTCATATTTAAAAGTTACATTGTCCTTTGTTTGCACGGTACATGGATTGTCAGGATTTAATGCTTGAAGTCGGGTTTTATTCGTGAACAGCATCTAAAATGCATGTCAGCCTCATGTTTTCTGTATTTTTTTTAAACAAAAAAAAACATTTTGTTGACAGCCTCAGAGCTCGAAACAAGCCAAAGCATTTGTTGATGCTTTTCTGAAGCGCAGTTTGCCACGACTGAGAGATGAGGACATTCAGAACCGTCTGAAGAGACAGGCTGTCGTTCTGGAACATTATTTAAAGAAGCGCACAAATAGTAAAAGAAAAAACAGGTATCTGAAGAGTCAGAACCGTCTGAAGGGACAGGAGGTCAGTCTGCAGCATACTTTTACGAAGCACAAGAAAAAAAGGAAAAACAAGTGTCTGTCTGCCAAGGAGAGGCGGGAAATGAAAATATTTGATCTGAAACCAGACCAACATAGGTAAACTGTTACTCTTTCTGGTAGTGTATTTTATAGTTGCTAATATGTTATTTGTTATAATTTAGAACCACGGAGTAATGCCAAAGAATGGTTATTTTTTATGAAAGATATTTTGTTACAAGTTCTGGTAGCATTTATCTTCGAGACGTCTCAAAGTGCTTCACAGAGTATACTGTAAAGTGAATTGACTCTGTTTTGTGGGCGAAATGTGGCAGCCAATTGCGCACAGCAGTGTCCCACAAACAGTTGTGGATAGAAGTGACCAATCTTTTTTAAGAGGAATTATTAGCCCCGGAAAAGCGATCCGCCAATTGACTAACAACTGGGTTCCTACTTACTGCTAGATAAATAGAGAGGTTTGGAGTAATGAAACTACCCAACGTTTTGCCTGCCGGGAATTGAACCCAGGTCTCTTGCTTGCAATTAACTTAATCATTTAACTTAAAGTGTCTTTATTCCAGTGTCAGTCTGCTAATATCAGGCTCATTTGGGAATGTTTAACTCAGGCTTCGTGCCATATCTTAATTTGAAAAAAAACTGTTTTCCACATTTGCTGAATTACAGAAATAAAAGTGAAATTTTAAAATCCTGAAAATCCACCAGCACAGGGGGGAAAGAAGGCTCCAAATCATTGAGCTGTTTTTCTTCTTCAGAGACTAATAGACTTGTGGATTTCCAGTGTTTCTGATTTTATTATTAAACCCCTGTCCAGATTGATCTAATTCCATTCTTTGCAGATACGATTTATTTCTCCCTTTGAATGGGCTGTGGAAGCAATACATCCGTAGTCTGTGTAATGGCCTTAAACCTGATGTGTAAGTACAATAATCATGCAATGCAGCTGAGTATAACAGACTCGATTGTTGACTGAATAATTTGACTGTGAGTACATCTGGAAGTACTCGCCAACTCGCACCAATACAAAGGAAGGTCGGCTGTTGTGGAAATCTAGTGATTAGTCTGTCGTCGAGCAGCAGTATGTTAACGTCTAAAATATTGATTCTTAAAATGATCAATCTGTTAACAAGGTCTAAAGTTAAAGAATGGATTTCCAGAATTATTCATGGCTCAGATTGTGAGTTTAGCATCGTTCTAGAATTGCTTCTTGTGAAATGTGACCATGTACAAAATACTAAGAGTCTACACAAAGAGTCTGTTTCCTCCCCTCCTACTTCAAAATCAAATGTGATTAGACATTTGGCATCACATGGTCCCAAGCATGTAGTTTGTCTTTCTTGAACTGAAGGAAAGGGAAAAGATATCTCTTGTTTGTCCTTTGCTGCTTGCAGAATATATTTATTGTATATAATCTGTCACTGTTTCTAAATTAGGCAATATTCTATAATCTTTTGTTGAAAGGACACCTCTAATTGCAGAGCGACTGAGATGAAAGATCATGACTAATGATAATCTATTAAAGAGGCACAGTCTTCATTTGTTAGGCAAGCAACACAAAAAAGAGCTAAGCACTCTATTGTTTTTATGTTGATACCTGCTCATAATATGGTGATTTATATCATCACATCATCTATTTGACATATCTTTTTTCATGAAGGTGACATAATGAGACAGGTAGTTACAGGAGGGCGATGTTTAAGTGTAAACACTTGTGTCGGGTTTATATTGGAACTGCCTGCTGAATTATGACAACAAATCTAAAAACAAATTGTCCAAATTTTAGATAGCGTCCTGACTGACTAATTCTGTGTTAGATTCAAGAAATAAAATAATATAAGAAATAAAACCGAGACCTTGGGAGTCGGACTTTGCCCTTTAAAGTTGCATCTGTTATTGATACTTTTCCAGGCAGCCGTATTTGATCCAGACAAAGTTGCTGAAAGCAGATTTGCATGGAGCCATTGTGACAGGTAACCTCAAATTCAGTTTTTTTTTGTTGTAAGCAGGAAATTCACAGATTTAACACATAACCTTGTTGTATTTAAGATATTAAATCAAAGAAACTCTAGTTTTAAGAAAAGCCATTCAGCATGTTCAGCTCGGACTGTCACTTAAGCTTCACACAGAACATATTCTTTCTCTCTCACTATTACTTTAGTGATAATCAGCCTCTTGCTTCCTTTCTGAATCTGTCTTAGTCAAATGCTTGAACTGAATTTGCATCAACTATTGGTAAATGCAAAGTATAAAAGAGTTATTAACAGCTTCTATTTTTTTCTCCTTGTAATGATGGGTATTCATTTATTAACATGATGGGTATATATTTATTGTATGGAAACAAGAAATATAACATGCAACTGGTCAACAAATTATTCAGACATTCTGCTATAATTTTTTTTTACAGTGGTGAAATCCAAATGTCCCTCTTACGTAGGAACCACAGGAATTATTCTACAGGAACTGAAACACGTATTCAAGATTATTACTATGGAAAATAAACTGAAAGGTATGCAGCATCAATTAGTCACCAACTATGGACCTATTAAGATAAAAGATCAGTGGCTATCTCCTTAAAATTAAGTACAGCTCAACCACATTTTCACTTTAGTGATCATTTCTGTTCAGCGCAGAGTGTGTGCATTCCAATTGTAAAAGATTAACTTCAATTTTGAGTTTAGCTTTTGTGAGATTGTAATGCCGGTCCAAGGTCACTCAAAAAAAAAGGGTACATATGAGGCATTGAATTGTGTAAAATAAGTTGATTGAAGCAAGCTCGGGAGTGCCACAGGTTTAATCCCCTCCATATCAGTTCTTCAAATTACTGTTTTGAAATTGTTTCCAGGAATCCATTTTCTATTTTACACGTGAGTTGTAATTTAATCTTCATAGTTAGAAAGCATTGATTCTGTGGGCGGTGAGTGACATTATCAGTCATGTCCAGGGAACTTATCTGTTTTTATTCTATTAAAATGTAATTTAGCTTTTTTTAAAGCATTTAAATACCGAATAATAGAAGTCCATTTTATTCTGAATTTCACATGCTCTTCTAATTGGTGTTTTGCCCTTCTTTTCCCCACTCCCTCCCCCTAGTTATACCCAAGATGAATAGTGTCTTTAGTGTGGAAATCGATCGCTTTGTTTCATATATCTACGGCAGCAAGTTCCAGCTAAGAGCAGGTGAACGCTCAGCTAGGAAATTTAAAGTAAAAGGAAGCATAGACCTTTAAATCGAGGGCAAGACTGCGGGTTCACGCTAATAAGCGCTATCAATGACTCTCGGACACGCCTTCAGTGGAAAACACTTGAACCTGTCAAGTGGAGTACAAGTGTACGGTTTAGTGGGAATGTGTATCGATTGCCTCATCTCCTGGGATCCTTTGTTAACCTGAAGTGCAATTTCCCATCAGATTCTCACATTAAATTGCTGTGCAGTGAAGGATTCTGTCAGAACTGAACTGAATGTGTCCTAATCTAATTTTTGGACTGTATTTAAATGCATCTGAGTGTAGTTTTTTTACACATACAATTGTAGTTCATATGAACACAATAAACACAACCTGAATTAACTGAATGTTGTTTTTCTCATATTGATAATTATTAGGTTTACAGAATATTCGATTATTATAAAGTTCATTCGTGGTTCTGGTGGTATAAAGACATATAATGAAACCTTCATGAATGTTTTGAACTTAATGAACCCCATGATTAATTGAGGAAGGAAATACAATGTTGATGATAATACATTCCATTTTCAACTATTTTACTGCAGATTTACAAAGTGGTAACTGGTTAATTCCTGCCTGTAATAAAGCAACACGTACCAGAGTTGCTTGCATTGATTTAAGAGAAAAATTTGCTTGGGGGCTGCAATGGTTTGTTTCATCCTTTCACCAGACCAGTCTGATGACATTGCAGTATCTTGTCTTCCGCCTTTAAAGCTGTTATCCAGGTTATGGCATATCTAAGTATTTAGTGGGTGCAGGCCCTAACCACACTGTTTATTTCAGAAACAAGTAGCCCAGTATTCCAGGGCCATTGTCACTCTTACTCTGGCAGGTCTAAAAGATAACTGGTGTGGGAAAAGGACATATTCACTTGGGCAGTAGGGATAGTTTGTCTGATTGGGGTTAAAGCAAATTACACAGGAGAGTGGAAGGAGCTTTGCTCTGCATCAGACCATCTGACCTTTGTGAGAGTCACAGACACTGGGTGCCTGAAATGCAAAAGTATTCAATTTCCCAGCTCTTGCAATTTCTCCTTGGTAAGCACAACATCCTTCGGAAACTAAATTCAATTGCCGTTGACAAGAATTCTGTTGATACATTTGAAGTCCAGTAGGTTTAGGTAACAGAATGCTACATTATTTATAAACTTGGACTCTATGGATGAGAGAAGTCGGAGTTGTTTATCATAGCAGCAGGAAGTTTTAAGTGAAGTAGATCATATAACTATTTCTTATTTATGAACATTACTGGCTTTGATGAGGGTAGTTGAGCTTGAGGTTAAAGCATTGGGTTGGGATGGTTATAGGAACTCTGAACAATATCTAGCCTGTGCTATTCCTAATCTGGATGTTTCATAATTGATGCTCAAAACAAGCACAGTACAAAGGCTGAAGTGCCCACTTTGCCTCATTACAGCAACCACAGCAATACTTTCACCTTTTTGAATCAGAACAGTTTTTGAATTTGAGAAAAGGTTGAAATAGATAGCTGTCCTAAGGGGCAAGAATGTAACCGACCATTCCAACTACTGTATTCAGCAAACGAAAGAGACTTCTACAAGAATAGATAGGATCTCAGGGGATATCTTAACAGATGTCGGTGCGACAGCGGTTGATTGATCTATTGACGGATTGATTTGGCTGAATGGAGGAACTATGAGAATATATAGGACAAAGAGTTGGACCCAGAGGATGACGGGGACAATGTAATTGCCAAGATTCAAGAGCAAGAAGGCAAGACATCGTCTGGCAACTGTAGGATTGGTACTGTGACCTTCTGTCAATTACAGGAAAAGTTGTCAGTGTGATTCTGTTGAAGTGAAATTGATGAAGCAGCAAATAACAATTAAACAAATTCATGGGACAGACCAATTTTCCACCTAAAAAATAACTTATTGAAAAAAACTTTGAATTTCAGCAGAATCTCATCAGTTTTATAGATTTTTCTGAAAAGTCTTTGGAAGCATGTTCCGTATTTGCCAGTTTTAAGAGTGATTGTGAGACTTAGATGGAAAATAGCACCACTTTCTGAGGATTTGTATAGAGACTTTGAAATCTAGTTAAGATTCATGGCGGAACAGATTAGTTTGAGAGAACGAGAAAGACTGGCATCAGGTAACACACCTGCTCTGATTTCTGCCTACAAAACCAGCTGTGCACGGGGAGATGTGACATTAATAAAAAGGGAGCAAACAGTGGTTGAAATAGCCACTCATTGATTTTGTCATGAATTTGACACATGCAAAATAACTAAAGCTTTAGGGTTTCATTGCAACATTTAGAGATGTAAAAGAAGGAATACTGGGCAGAATTGAAAGATCTGAAAGTGATTTTGGCTCCTAATGGTAGATGTCAACAAAGTAGAATTTGAGCGCCCAGAGAGAATGAACAGCAGCCACATTCCAGAATAGACTAATGAACTGAGGGAAATACAAGGGAAAATGATGACTTGAAATGTAGAACTGACACGTTTTGGCTAGGAAAGCGCATGGAGTAAAGCACAAGCGAGGTAGAATCTGAATCTGTACCTTATATATTGGGTGGAAAAGTGCCACCAATTCCAACTTTGAAGTGTGTGTGTTCATCCCTTCAACAGATTTGGTTTCTGCAATCACAGTGATACTTGTCTTAGTACACAGCATGCATTTATATAGTGTCCTTTATGTAAAAGATTGCAACAAAGTGCTTGATATTTAATATATTAGCACCTGCATGAAGATAGAGAGTGACTCTGAAATAATGAATCTACCTGTCTCACTAAATAGGTGAAAAAATCAATGATGTGATTTTTGTTGCTTTTTACTTCACTTGTGTGAACAACACCAATTGTCACCATTGATAATTATTCAGTTTATTTTGTCTCTTTTACTTTATTGGAACCAAAAAATTTTCTTTTTAAGAAATCAGTAAGAGTGCCTTAAATGTTTGCGTTTAATGTCAAACTACCCCACAAAATGTTAACCATTTTTTTATGAGCCCTCTGAAATTTGGTGGAAATTTAATCCTTTGGACTGTCATAAACTTTAGATAACATAAACCTAAAATGGCATGCTGGACTCATTTAAAAGCTTTGATGCTGAAATGAGAAAACCCTGGGGTAGGTTTTCTGGAAGGATGAAATCAAATGGTCTGAAAAGCCTTCATCAGAATCGCTCTTGTAATCTATGACGAAAGCCAGTAAAGTGAATTTCAGAAATCATAACTTTTATTTTTAAAGCACTATTTATAGTGTGTTATATAGTTAATTCCGGGGAAGAGAATTTCTCCACAATATCCTTCTGTTGTTTGATTAAAGGTCCCAGTTGAAGGTTTTCTTCATCTGTACCTCTCTTCTGAACTTGTGATGTTTCATTCACATGATCAATGTGCAGCTTGGCCTTTCATGATTGGATCCCATTTATATTTTTAGCCTCAGCACAAACAAAATGTGTGTGTTGCAAATAACCAGGGCTTTCTTTATCAATTAGAAAAGATTGCGTTATTTTTCCAAGTCAGTGCTTGGTAAGGTATGACACACCTTTCCAGCAATGTAAGAGTGTGTTTGTGTGCCAGGAGGGCGGGGTTGGGCATGCAGGGGCACTGGTTAGTGATCAAATACAGTAGTGCTGGCTGGTTTTGTCATCAACCAGCAGAAGAGTGCTACCACAGCTCTTACCCTGACTGAGATCAGCTATCATAGTAAAATTGTGTGACTTTCTCATCTATATCTGGTGGTGTGACACTAGGCGATGGTTTTATCCAGCAGGGTATAGGGGCAGGCAGCATTAACACATCATGAGAAAGCAGAACCACTAACTCCTTTAGTGCACCACACACATGTGGTCAGATCTTTGATCCAAATTTCCTGCTTCTCCCTTTGCTGTGCTGCTCTGCTGAGAGCCAAACCACTTACAATAGCTTCTGATTATATAGCAACATGGGAGCGCAGGAAGTTCGATTTATAACATTATGTTGATTCGGTGCCAAATGAGCAGCGTAAACAGACTTGTGTCATGATTTCAGTTCATGTCAGATCAGCACATTCCAGGTCCTCATCAGACAAGGATTGTTCCTCTGGGGAAAGGGTAACTTATCTATACAACCTCCACACAGCCCTGTGAAACAAAAATAAAGCCTCTTTGTGTGTGTGCGTGTGTGTGCAGAGGAGTTAGAGTCGATGAATGGACTACAAAAATAAGGCAATCTAGGTCAAATCCTGTATCCTGTATTCCTCATTCTGGAATCTAGTTTTGGAGGAGCTGTCAGAAGTTCAACTGTATTTAGTGGAGGAAGTTCCCAAACTGAATCCCTGATTTAAGATAAAGAGTATCCCGATAAACCATCACAGAGTTTCAAACTAATGGAAATAACAGCGCAAGAAGAGGGTAGGGCTGCAGTTTTCTTTAAAAACAAAATTACTGTTAAAAAAAGAAGTGTGTTTCCTTTGTTAACTTCTGTTGTCATTTACAGCAGCAGATAAGTGCCGATAAAACAAACATTGGTTTGTTGACCTTTGTGCTTTTGGGCAAAGGTAGCGAGAGGTATACCAGTTACATGCAGAATTCTTGGCCGATGAAACAGGTTCAGACTTTTACATATGTTTTCCTTCCACAGCAAGTCGTTATACGGTCGAAATATATGTGAACCTGAGCTGTTCAGTCTTAAAGAATGTGCTGCTCATGATTTTACTATGTTTATTCACTTAAAATAGCTGAGAGCTTTTCAAAAAGAGATTTTCAGGCAGTTTCAGAGATCGTTCATAGAATTTGCTTAAAATTTCTTTTGGCTACGCGCAACCTTTTATGCGATTTTAGTTTAGTTACTGGTTAAAAAAANGTATGAGCTTACAGACATGCCTGAGACACTTTACTTCTGAGCCTGCTGTTTGTGTAACATGTTTGTGTAAGCACCGTCTTTAAGAAAACAGTTGAATACGGAGAACATAAGAAAACTTGGGAGTTAGAAAAAGCCATTCTACCAATTTTCCCTTCTCCTTTTGCTTTGGGGTGTAATTTGACCAAGAAATTTTATGGCATTTTACAATGAAGGGCAACTCCTTAGCAAAATATTCATATCTTTATATAGCTGGGCTGACCTTTTAACCAAAATCTGCTTTTGCAGAACTGGAATTGCAGGTTTAAACTGACAAGTCAGAAATGCTTCTCACAAACAAGCAGCATAAGATCAGCCAGACAGAGTCATAAGACACAGTAGACGAAAAGGAAAAAAAAGGACTGTGCTGTTGAGTACTACTGTATTTCAGAAAAGTTAAATCAATCTATTGTTAGCTCTCAGCACCAATCGAGCTTTTGGTTCCCCGTAAAACAAGACAAGTACTGCCACAGCCCGCATTGCAACAGGAAAAGCTGTGAAGGGGAATTCAAAGACTGGGTAAGTCGAAAATTTATTATCCTGTCAAAGCAGAGAGCATGATTGTTGAAGCAATTAGTGTAAGAAATCTGTTTGAAAATCTTTAATGCTTTTGTAAAAATATTTTCATTTTCAAAAAAAAGTTTAGCAAAAACAACTTGTGATTTTACACAGAACCTGCTCCTCGATTAATTCTGTGGCTTTTTATATATATATATAAAGATCTAATTTTAGATCATACCTTGGGAAACTGAACTTCACTTATTTGCATTCTTTTAAGAATTTCATGAGAATGGCCTGCTCTCCACCCTACCCCACTTCAAAGCCTGCATTACATTTACAATGTGCAACAGCTGGTAGTTTGCTTCAGAGCCTATTGCAACACTGCAGTAGAACCAGACAGAGGAGCTGTGCATAATCTTAGCTGTGCAGTCAGAAGAGGAACTAAATGGGGGTAAGGTACTGTACTTCCTCAGAGGAGAGGAATCAGTAACCAGTGAATGGCTGGGTATCTCATTTGATCTTCCAGTTCATTGTCAGCCGAACAGCCAGGGAGAAGAGTTTTAAGAATGCTTTTGCATGAAAGGAAAGCTGCCATTACTTTCAAAGTCCTCCAGTAATCGGCAAGATAATAAGGCTTTGAACTATTTTGCTGTTTTCAAATACATGGTATGGAATGCCTTGGAGGGATAGGCTAAATGCCCTTTTCTCATTCCAGGTATTCCTATGTTCTTATGTAAGCAGGCTGTTTGACTTAAAGACTTAAGCTGGAGCACAAAGACGATTAAAGCTTCTGCGATCCTTTCTGCTGTATTGTTTTCTTGCATTCTTTGGGTTGGGTAAAGACTCACTTTTGCTATCTATGGTGGTTTGGGGGCTCCAGAGATTCACCATTCACTTGTTTTCTTTTTTGTCCTCTTAATTCTAACCCCCAGCTCGGGTTCAAAGGCTTCACTGTCCAGTGCTTTAGGATGTTCGCCCAATGTGAAAGATGCTTGAAAATGCAATTTGTTTTTGTTGTTTCTTAAAGACTAGGATAATTTAATCCCTCAGAGTTGCTGTAAGATCTGTTTTAACCAGTAACTACCACAAAAATAAAATGCTAAATAAAAGGTTGTAATTGGAGTCAATGATATAATAAATAATAATAATAATCCTTGCATTTAATATAGCGCCTTATCATGTCATTGATACATCTCAAAGAGCATCACAGAATATACTGTACAATGGATTGACTGTGTATTTTGTAGGTGAAACGTGGCAGCAATGCGTCGCAAACAGTTGTGGATTGATTGACTGATTTTTTTAATATAGAATGTATACTAAATAGTGAGATATATTGAGGGGGCTGGAAATACTTCTAAGAATTTTAAAGAATATTTTTACATGAGGGAAAAGATAGCAGCTAACAGCATTTTGCTTCTACGTTTCCTGAACTGTAGGAATAAACGTTTCACACGGCGAATTGAATAAGATGGTGGACCACCTGGCAAACACCGATGCCAACACTCAGCGTATCACCATGGTGGAAAATTGCTTCGGAACAACTGGCCAGCCCCTGGCAGTGCAAGGCCGAGTGCTTGTGGGGGAAGGCTTGCTGACCAAAGTGTGCCGCAAAAAGCCTAAACCCAGAATGTTTTTCCTGTTTAATGACATCCTGGTCTATGGAAGTGTCATCATCCCCAAGAAGAAGTTCGTGAGCCAACATATAATACCTCTCGAGGACATCAACATTGAGGATCTTGTGGACGATGATGGTCTGAAAAATCGATGGATGGTAAAAACCTCCCAAAAATCATTCATAGTGTGTGCGGTGACCCCCTTTGAGAAAGAAGACTGGCTCAAGCACATTAACAGATGTGTTGAACAACTGATGGAAAAGACAGGAAGAAAGCAATCTACTGAGCATGCAGCCCCCTGGATACCAGATAAAATGACTGAGATCTGCATGCGCTGCACTCAAACCAAATTCAATGCCATGGTCCGTAAGCATCACTGCCGGAAATGTGGTTTTGTGGTGTGTCAATCCTGTTCAAAGCAGAAATTTCTCATGCCAAAACAGTCCTCCAAGCCTTTGAGAGTATGTACGCTCTGTTATGATAAACTGGTGGAACATCAGAAGAAAGAGTTAGCGACAGAAGTGGATGCGCTTTCCACCGTTGGCAACGCAACAATGTCCAGCGGCGAAGACGACAGTGACAAGTCAAGTGATGAGGACAAACATGAGCAGTGGATGAACCAAGATCCCTTCTTTTTAGAAGATCATCCTCGGTCTTCTTTCCACACCTAAGACCTAACAAACTCAATCGCAGTGAACTAAAGAATTACCCTAACAGTTAAGCAAGGCCCTCCCCGCCAACAAGCAATTTTGTCAAGCAACATGGTGTTGAGGATTCCAGCAAAGATTTGTAATCTTTTTGACTGATCCGAGAAAAATATTCCCATACTTTTCTTTGGGGTTTTTCGGACATCATCTCTCTTTGCCTCTACTCCTCTTGATTTCAACTACCAGCTTGGATGCAAACCTTTGACTGTCCAGTGCTTTGGGATGTCCTTCCGACATGAAAGACACTTTATAAATGCAATTTGTTGTAGTTGTTTCTTGGGTGCTGTACAAATCTGATGTGTAAAACATTCTTTCAGAGATTGGTGTAATGCTGCAGAACTCAGAGCAACCCTTGCTCCATTAGTGGGTGGTGAGAGAAATAATACATTTTCACTGTCATTGATTTGCTTTTCCTGAGATCACAGATAAAGACTCAAGGCCGATAGAGCAAGACACAACAAAGGGTGAAAAGAATACAATAGCAAGGAAAATGATTAGGTCCATAACGTTGCTCAGTTGGATAAATGAAGTATGAAATTAAATGGTTTATCTACTCTATAAGCATCAACAGCTTGCTGTTACATAGAGCAAGTTTCAGGTTAGATAGTCTCTCAAGTGTTTTGAAGGATCCGTATGGAACCGGAGCACAGTGTGAAGTAATGAGGATGGAGGAAGATATTCAAAAGCACAATTTAAGAGGTAGGTCTTTAGAAGAGTTCTGAAGACAGGGTGTGAGGCAGAGGGATTTTGAAAAGAGTTCCAGGCAGCATGTGCTAAGTGGCCAAAATCTCACTTGGCAATGGGGGTGAGGGCAGATCAGAAGGAGATGGGCAGGAGATTGCAGAGGTAGAGTAGGCAAAATGTTTAAACTGTGTGTTCTCTAGTTTGCATTTGACACGGTAGAAATGGTAAAATGAAGTCATGTACTTATTCAGGCTTGAAAAAGAACTTTGTACTCATAGAATTTAACCAGAATTGCTACAAACTAATCAAATGAGCTATAAAAAGCTATAAAAACCTAGTAGTTTGGATAAGCTGTAAATAAACGTATCAGGTAAAAAGCTTTTAATCAGATAATGGTTACTTATCGCACATAATAAGGTGAAAGTTTGGGCTTGTCGAGCGTTGATTGTTTTGCTCAGACAAATTGTAATTATATTCACAATATATTCATTATATTTTTATGTGTTTGTGGATCTGCAACAATGTTAATATGTTATATTTCTCTGAAATCATTTTGGTCAAAAATAAAATTCATTCATTTCAAAACGGTGTTAGTTATTATTTTCTAAAATATTAAGCTAACATTACCATCCTAACTTTTTTGCTTGATCACTGCAGCTACCAAGAAGTCGCCGCTTCCAGTTTGAATGAATACTGTGTTTCAGACCAGAGACCATTTAATCTCAGTAAAACTGTGATGGAATCCTTGTGAAAAACTATTTGACATGCCGAAATGGTTTATATGAAAACATGTATAACACCCTAAACTGCGCGAGTATTTTAATCATCCAATTGAATCAGCACAGTGGAAACCAACATAAAAATCCATTTACTATGAAACTGGTTGGATGCGCCCAGATGAGATCCCACCCACGAGTGATACAATTTCACTTTTTTTTAAACAAATATATCAAACTCAATTTAAACCTAAAATGAACTTAAGAAACAAACTTCAAGAAAGGAAGACTGAGTGGTGTCCATGTTTATTTTGCAGTGTTCCTTAACCTCTAGACATTCATTTGAATCCAGCACAAACTGATGGATAAAGGTTTCTATCAGTCATTTCAAGGGAGTCTTGTGACATGTATCTGGAAATCTGAAACATTCACACAAGTGGTGGACAGTCTTCCTCTGATGTGAGAGTTAGTGCAGAATTGGGACAGAGAGGGGTTTGTCTGCATTTGGCCACACTGCAAAAAAAAACGTTGTTTAAGCAATAATAGGCCTCACAGAGTGTTAATACACGAAAACATTTGATTCTTCCAGTATTGGAGTTTCCTCAATTTGAACAAATTCCATAACATCATAAAATTTTAATAATTAAACTCCAAGGTGGGGCCATTTTACAAACTGGATTACTGTCCTCCTTCAAACTACAATATTTTTCTTTTCTTTTATTCCTGTCCAGCGATAACTACTGTAGTGCTCGTTTTTTTCCACTGTGTGGCATTGAAGTACATTTGAACACTTCAGTTACAAATGTACTTCAGTGTGCTTTGAGTGTGCAGGACAGCTCTGCTGTGCCACCAACTGACTGAAATCTGGTACAACATTAAAAAAAACTATTTTGATACAGGAGAGTTTCATCACTGCATTCTGGTAAGAATCATTAGTGAGTAAATAAAACGAGATAATGAGTAAAAATGGATGACAGTACAAAATAGGAGAAAGGGCACATATATATGCAGGGTGATCAAAAAGTCATGGTAACTATCCTATCATCTAACACAAATATACAATTTCTTTAAGACTTATTAGACATTGTAATCGTGTCACGACTTTATGGTCACCCTGTACATCCCATAAAGTCGAATGAAGATGTTTTCCCATCCACAGTAGTAACCCCTGGGAACAATGACCTTAAAACAACTGTGCAAGTAAACCAAGCAAACCAGTATTGTTTATACTAAAGTTGAGGTTCTCGTTTAAAAATGTAAATCAAATACGTTGCTCATTTACTTTTTTTTAAACTTAGCTTTTGAACATGTAGATGTGTTTGGGTTCAGCACATGAATTGTGATGGGTGTACGTTTTGGAGAATGTTGGAAGTACTGACTGACTCCTCAGATTATGCATTATATTCTCAGATGGGTTGCTGTTTCGTTACGGTTCGGCAGATTAGTTATGTTTGACTTAAATGTAGTAGTTGATGGGAGGTGCTGAAGTCTAACTAATGCAGTCTGTGAAACCGGGCTGAGTGCTGCAGATTTCATTGCACAGTAATTGGTGAGAGAGTCGCTTTAATTCATGGTAAATGAGAATAAACAGTAGTTCTACATGTATACAATTAAAATAAGTGGGTTTGGTCAAATCTGGCTACACAACCAGCACAGTCAGGTTATATTTTTTATAACCCGAACTGTAACAGGAGAATAATCTAGTAAACTTTCAAGCCTGACTTTGAAAATCTTAATGTTTCCTTTATTCATGCTGTGAAAGGGGGAAATGATGAAGGCAATGATATTTCCTTACCTTTCAGAGATGCATGAAGTTATATTTGACCCTAAGGATGTTTTTATAGTAATGAAATATGCAGAAGAAAGATTCCTGTGGAAACTCAGAAAAAATGACTGATTTTTACTGCTAATTCCATTATGATGCTAATTCAACCAGAAACTGCTGGAGCTATGACCCAACATCAATATTGAACCCTAGCTCTGGTTACAGACTTAAAACAAGAAAATCAACATATTCTCGAAGATGTCTATCTGTTTTAGCTGAATGACGCTTGATTATTTTCTTCAGATCTACTCTGTTCATGTTCCACATGAAAGTTGTTTCTACATTTAAATACATAAGCTCAGTCTCGCTGGCATCCACTTTGCTTTGTAGATTTGAAAATTCAGTCATTCATTGTGTGCTTCTATGTCTCATGACCTTCACTCTAAATTCCATCATCTTTAATGTGTTTAGCAAAAACGAGATAATCAAGTTGCTCTGCTTTGCTGGTAAGATGTTATACAACAACTTGCATGGCACAGTGTGCCAGTGCTTAGCACCTTGGGACATCCTCCTGACATAAAAGGCGCTATACAAATGTAGTTTGTTGTTTTTGTTGCATATACTGTATATGTTATTTCACCTCGGATAACAACACAAAGTGCTTCAAGTTATGCACTTGAGGCATTTGAGGAACCAAAAAAATGTTGGAAATGGAAGTCTAGCATTACATTAATTGTGGCGCACGAAGAGGCAAAAAATGAACTGAACCACTAATATTATAAAGTGGATATAAGGCTAGCTATTCTGTGAAGTTATGAGTTGTTTAACACAAATCCAAGTCCTACCATTCCATGACACGATGCTAGTGCTCTAAACCTCCTACACCACAATACCCAGGCTCCAAATTGTTTCATATCCACTTGAGTGAGGCGATCATTCTATTCTCTTGAAAACATTAAAGAACATCTTTAATGTTCCTCTCCCAGGCCACTCCAGGACCTGCTGTGCTCAGAATTATTGGGGCCAGTTTTCGTGGTATGAACTGATTTTATTTTGTCAATAGTTCATTAAAAGGGGAAAAACTTTCAGCTTTCAAATTCTGATGGACTTATGTGTCCGACGAGATTTAAAAATGAAAGCTCACTTACCAAAAATAACTTGCTTCCGAAAAGCTCCTCGACAATGTCTGACATTTCCTGGGAGGATAGGTTCTGCACTGGCGCTGTGTCATTTGAGTGTTGCCTCTTGCACAGATCATGCAATGCACTGAGCAAGAGCCTCTGGTTTTATTTTAAGCTGATCTCACTCATTTTGCTGTGGAAAATAAGAAACCTTTACCCGACAGTAATGAATGCTTTGAGGGAGTGTTATGAAGTAAGACTCTGTGGTGAAACCTTTTGCAAGAACAATTCTTGGCTGGGACAAGTTTATTTTAAAGTTGTGCTATGAGAAATATTATAAAGTACTTTCTATTTAAAGTTCTTCCTTATGGCGACCACCTCCTTTTAGAAAGTCTGCTCCTATTATCAAATGAAAGCGCTCTCTGTTGATCAGTTGCTACCTTGTCATTGCTAGATTTAGCAAATGATTCTGCGCTATCAAACTCTCACTTCTTTTCCAAAAAACATAAAATAAAAGATTACTCCCGACAACTCTTCAAATTGTTTATTTCCTACATAAATTGCTTCAAGAATATTGTAAATTCAAACACTTCACTAAGTGCTATTACTTCAAATTCAAACACTTGACTAAGGCTCAATAACAGTGCTAAGATAGCTGATACACATTATATAGATTAATTCACCATAATGACTTGTAAACTTGATACATGATTATGACATTTTAAAGACTTCTATCACCAAAAAATGTTAAATTCCAAATTTAAGCATCATTGAAAACGAATAGTGGCTGTCAGTGGCATTCCCTTTTCTTGTCACAACATTTCTGAAACGTTTTAAATGATTTATAAAATGTCCCGTCTGCAGAAATTCACTTTCTTGGACACTGATTGTGAGCTGATCAGTCGTAAAGAGGCACTTTGATTTCTTCCTTTGTCACTGCAATAAATTTTAATTGTCGTTGCATCTTACTTGGCTTCAAAATGGAATTGCTTTTCAAAGTGGGACAGCATGTATATGGTAAAATGCAGGATGACCAGCTTCAGTTTTATTTCCTAATTACAAAACCTATTTTAAAAGCAAGCAAATTCTTCTACCAATGTCCACACACACTGCTCTTGCATGGCCCGCTAGTTGGAGCCTGCAGTGAATGCAGTAATGCCTCTTCAATGGCCAGACGGATTTGGTGTACCTACTGAGATCCCTGATGATCTATTGAAGCTGGTGGATGACCCAGGTCTGGTTGTAGAGGCTCATCACTGCTACTCGTCCATGTAGGAAATGGCCAGAAATTTGCTATCACACTCAATCAAACTATTTTTGCTGCTTAGCTGGGTCTACATTGGAATCTAATATCCCTGCACTGGTCACTTTGTTGATAGTATTGGTAACCTACTATTCCTGTGTTGTGACATTCTTTGTTAGAGACGCCACTTATCTGGCTTTGCTGGTGCTGTTGGCTGGCTGCTTTCCATTTAGTTCTGGGACCCATGTAACAGGAGTGACGCTTCAAAACTTTCGGTGTATTGTACAGTGACACTATGTTCACCTTGTCAGCATATTCTTTAAGAATTAGTGTTAGTTGTTGGAACAGGATTGCCTTCTTTACAGTGAGGAATGATGTACTTCCCAATGCAGAATGCACTTTTTAATCATTATAATTAACAAGGAGGTGTGGGAAGGGGAGCATTTGTGTAGTGCTTTTACTTTCAGAGAGTCTGAGGTCTCTTCTGTCACAAGTTTGCCAGCATGGATCTGTCCATTGTGCATCATTACATCGTTGCCTGGCAAATTCTTTCGAACAGCACCTTTGTACCGTAAATACTAATTACTGTCAAACAGGCCTTAAGAAACCTATATTATTGTTTAGATAGTTAGTATGATTCCATTTCATTATGTATGTCAATGAGAGAATACCATGGTTATAAATTTACAGTAGCTATTTAGGAATATTGCTTCTGGGGATAAATGAACATTTAAATAGTTTTGACACTTCATGTCATCTGCCAGTTGTCAACATAGTTCTAAGGCCAAATTATATCCTTCACAAAGGCTTGAATTAATGTTGGTAAAAGTTATTATTTTCCAGATTGCAACCAACCTACCGCCATTGAGATTCATGGGCAAAGGCACGCGGAATCTATGTAGATTTCACTCTGGATATCGCACTTCGGCATTGAGTTGGTTTAGAAAAAACAATTTGATTGCTTGTAGCACCCGGATCTTTAGTGTGGGATTTCCCATCACTAATGCGATGAGCTGTGCTGCGTCAGTCCAGTCCAGGTGCCGGACAACATTTTGCACATCGGTCAAAAGCATCTGCTGTTGGTTTGGTGGCAGTTCCATAAGAATCTGAGGCAATGGTTTAAACTGTCCACTGGTCATCCAGGCACCCAGCAATCCACCAACCGCACCACCTGAGGAGGGGCAAACAGACATTTTTTTTCAAATTTAAAATGAATAGTTAACATTGATTTTATTCTCAAGCTTCCTCATGCCTATCCTGAAGGTAATGCTCCTTGCTAGTGTGTGAGGTAAGGAACTGTCTGGTCTCTCGCTGCGAGGCTACACTTTATGTACGAGATTGGGTAATGTATCAGAACCAGGCAATGTATGAGGCTGGGCAACAAGTATCAACAGGCAATTCAGAGCATATCACAGCTGAGAAGCTTGATCTGATTTTCTCCTGACAATCACATTCCACCAGGGGTCAGAGGGTAATCATCAGAGGCAGGATATGAAGCTGTTTTTTTCTATCCCAAACCCTGAGGCCAATTACTGTGACCCTGGTCTCAAAGTGGCTGAGGTTAGTTATGTTGCCATAAACAACATCCTAATTTGCATTTATATGGTGCCCTTCTTCCAGGGTAGCATCTTGGGAGTGCTTAAACAAACAAACAATTAAACCCGAGACCTTTCTGGTATACGTGGGTCCCACCCAGTAGAGTATGACACGGATAAACAACTTGCTTTTATAGAATTGTTGACACGGGATAATGCTCAAAACACTTCACAGAAACTGAGTGGGAGCCCGAGCAAGGAAGGAGATAGAAGGGAGGAGTGAGACGAATTAAGGCACAGTCAGATATGAGGAAGGTGACCAAAGGCACTGTCAATGAGGTAGATATTTAGAAGGGCTTGGAATGCTGAGAGGGTAGGTATGAGATGGAGGCATTTGAGGAGTTTCAGAGAGCAGGGGACAAAGTGTCTGAAAGCTCTCTATATGCTCATATTATTTACTGCGGAATAGTAAGACAACACAATGAATTTGACTACTGTCCTTTTTTAAAAGGATCCAGGTACGCTTATCATTGTGTGATGTAAAAACTCTCAGATCTGTCCCTTTTCACCATCATTGAATAGTCACAATAGCCATTGAATGGCCCTAATTCCATGTCTGATTTACATATAGGGCGACACACACTTTGTCTTTTTTATGGATTCTACCTACAATATCTTTGTGAACACCAAGACTAGGCCCAAGAGCACTCTGTGTCACGTGATTGTTTTTTAACTAATACAGGGGTTTGTCAAATGTTTTTTTTGTCCCTTTGAACCGGGGTCCAAACACTCACCAACTGCAATTCCGGGAGGCCCACCGAACAGCCCGCCAGCAAACGCTGTTATGCAAGCCACAGCTGCTCCCTTTGCAGACCCTTTCACTGCAACCTGTATCTTCTCCACCTGTGAAAGATGATTCACCAAGTGCATCACGTCATTGGGATACACAGGCATCTTCGGTGAGCGAAAGGATCCTGTAATCACACACATGTTCATCACTTCCATCATTGCAAGCAGATTGCTATTATCGTTATACTGTATGGCATCAATGTATTCACTTTTCTCCCCCTTTCAGGTTTCTTTTTGCCTACAATAATAATTCTTGCATTTGATATTGCAGCTTTCATGTATCGAAGCACTGCACAACTACAAGAACTTGCGCTTATATAACGCCCACCATGCAGGGTAGCATCGAAAAGGAAGGTTTTCAGGCGGGACTTGAGAAAGGGGAGAGAGGTGGCAAGGCGGAGGGATTGAGCGAGAGTGTTCTACTGTTTTGGGGAGTAGTGGCTGAGACTGTGACCTCCAATGGTGGAGCAGAGGTTGCGAGGAACAAGCCGGAGGCCGGTGCCAGTCGAGCGGAGGCGCCGGGTGGTGGATTGGGGGCTGAGGAGGTCAGAGAGGTGCCAGGGAGTGAAGGGATTTGAACACGAGTGTGAGGATCTTGAAGTCGATCTGTTCGGTGATGGGAAGCCAGTGAAGCCTGGGCCAGAACTCTGGGGATGTGGGTACAGAGTTTGATCCGGGTCAATGTGCGGGCAGCAGAGTTCTGAATGAGCTGGATTTTTTTGAATAGTGGAGCTGGGGAGACTAGTGAGGAGTGAGTTTGAGTAATCCAGGCGGGATGTGACAAATGCATACACAAGGGTTTCGGCTACATTTGGGGTAAGGTATGGTCGGAGGCAAGCAATATGGCGGAGGTGGAGGAAGGCGGTCCTGTTCAGGGACCAGATGTGGGGGAGGAAAGACAACTGGGGGTCAAACCAGACGCCTAGATTGTGCACTGGTTCGGTGAATCTGAGGGGGAGCCCAGGGAGGTTGACGAATTTAGATCCGCAGGAGTGAAGACGTTGACGGGAGCCAAAGAGTATGGCTTCCATCTTGTCCACATTCAGCTGCAGGACATATTACAATTCACAGGGTTTATTGTAATATGTAATGACTATGTATTTTGTCAGCTTTTGCCAAAAGGCACAATTCTGAACTCCCTTTGACTTTTGCAAATTATTCCAGCCTTTTCTATTTGCTAAACACACACACACACACACACATAATTTACTAAGGGACCATGGTGTTTAATAAATCCGTCTTTTAAAATGCAAAAAAGGTTTTATTTAAAAAAAATGCAATAATCAGTAGAAAACACTTTGTAAACCAAGCGACGAAAAAGTATCCATTTCACCATCAATGAGGATAGAGGGAAGAGACATAGACATGTGCTATTTTTTGTCTGCATGATGTAATGGACATGGCTCCACAGAAACAATGGAGCTTTTCCAATATCACTGCCATCGCTTGTGTGTGTGTGTGTGTGTGTGTTTGGCAAATAGACAAGGAAAGGGCTCAGTCAGCACCTGGGAAGGCCACTGTGTGTCCCTTTAAAAGCAGAAGACACTCCAAACCGAATCCAAACGCTCAGCCTCGAGTGAAACCGAATCAGCCAAACATCTGCACCATTCCTCCAGTTTATAGCCTCAAAACAGCAGCAACACATCGAGCAGACAGACACAGACAGACACAGACAGACAGACACAGACAGACAGACAGAAAGGCCTCTCTCATTTGCAACCCCCTCTCATTCACATTCTCAGAGTGAGCTCCCACCCCCCACCCCCCGCCTGCCTTTTCCTCCATTAAATCAGCCCGGATCCTACCGTTACCATTGCAAAGCTCATTCCAGTGCAGGACTGGTCACACACACACACACACACAGACACACACACACTCGTGTAACATACGACACTGTGGGGGGTGGAAAATAACATGATCGCGACTGAAGTGCTTTCAGGCTTTCTCTCTCTCTCTCTCTCTGGGGTGTGTGTGTGTGTGGGGTGTGTGTGTGTGGGGGGGTGGGGGGGTGGGGGGGGGGGGGTACCTGGTGTAAGGCTGCACCGCCCGAGGCTGCTGAGCTCAGGGTAGAAGGACTTTGGTCGGTGCTGCCTCTGGTTCCGGACTACAGCACTGCAGCTGCAGTGATCCACCGCACCGCCCGCACAGCTGTGTCAGTGAAGGCGCACTCGCTATCGCGTGTTTTTCTCCTGACTTTCTTTTTCCTCTCCAATCGCTGCCGAGTAGACTTTCCCCGAAACGCCACATCCCCATCACACCCCTCCCTTTGCACACACACACACACACATATATATATATATATGCATGTGTAGGTATGTGTGTGTATATATATATAGATATATAACCAACTACACCGTGAGAGACAGAGAAACCTGAGAGGTTCGAGTGGAGTTTATGTCGAAAGCGTAATTGCAAAGCGCACCATCACACGACAGAAACCACTCTCTGCTGCTGCTGCTTTTTTTTTCAATTTAGATTATACTGTATTTGCTGTATTTTTTTGTTCGACTGCAAAACTAGTCTTCCCTCTCATGTGCACGGTGTCAATGCATGTCAAACTGAAGCACAGACATGTTAGATCAGGGAGATTTGTGATATTGTGTCTGGTCCCCCCCCCCCCCCACCCCCTTAAAAAAGTGCGTTTCAGGTTTTGGTACAATGCAGAGTATATTCAGAATTACATATTGCACAGTATGATCTGCCGACGTGAAAGGCACTATACACATGTCATTTTGTCGTTGTTGTTATGTAGATACCTACAATTTGGATCTGAAATCCCCATCTGGCAATTTCACTAAGAGAGGATGCAAGGCTGCTATTAGTGCAAAAATGATAAATTAGACTGGAAACATGACCCCTCCACTGTATTATATTGGAGCACTGACTGTCTACATTGACTGAAAATGCTTCCAGTATAAGGTGGCTCCATTAGGTGACAGAAAATCACCTGTCCTGCATCCAACATACTCCCAATCATCAGTTATTATTGTGTGTCTAGTGATGTCATGCAAATACATTGTTAATATACACATAGTTATAGAACTCAAAAGGTAGTTTATGGATTTTGTTTCAGACAAATGATTTGAAAGAAACACTCGGCATAAAGATGTCAATCTTCATATTTTATCTGAGCATCAAACTGCTGTGAGAAGAAGTTTAATGCTGTCTGAAGCACCAACTGAGTCAGGGAAGGATTTCTCATCACTAACGCTACGAGATGTACTGCATCAGTCCAATCCAAATGTTTGATAATCTTGTGCACCTCAGCAGATAGCATCCTCTGTTGGTTTGGTGGCAGTTCCATAAGAATCTGAGGCAATGGTTTAAACTGTCCACTGGTCATCCAGGCACCCACCAATCCACCAACTGCACCACCTGGGGAAGAACAAATATATTTCGAGACTCAATTTTGTATCGCCCACAAAATATGCAGTCAATTCACTTTACAGTGTATTCCGTGAAGAGCTTTGAGACGTCTCAAGGACCATGATAAGACACTCCATCAAAGATTGTAATTATTATTGAATATTTTGGATTTAGCTTTTTATAAATGATCTTGATAGAAACATAGAAACAGGAGTAGGCTATTCAGCCCCTCGAGCCTGTACCACAATTTTATAAGATCATGGTTGATCTGTAGCTCAAGTCCAGATAACCCATTAGCAAAGCAAAATATGACTCTCTAACATGAATATTGATTCAAATGTAATCTAGAGATTCATAAGGCAGTACGGCTGACTATGGCTGTTAACTTTGGTTTTGAAATGAAAGTACAGACAACCATCATTCAGCTAAACTTGCTACAGGAAATTTTACATTTGATTTCTGTCAATCTCTCGAGTCAGATGAAACACCTCAAAAACAAACAGCTCTCAGTGACCTGACAAGAATGAAGCAAAATCAGTGAATCACAACAGTAAAATTCAAAGTCTTTCAGACAGAGATTGAAAAAATCATAGAATCAGAATCTGAGAATTTTACAGCACAGAAAGAGATCAGTGGTTCCCAAGACACTGGGTGTTAGACAATGCTTATATACTGGTAAGTCTCAGCAATACTGCCACTATAATTTTCCTATTTCCTGCTTATATCACTGTAGATATCACTGTAATAAAATTGACACTTTTACAAGAATAATTAAACATTACTTACCAGCTGCTATGCCAAATGGTCCACCAAGCAGGCCACCAAAAAATGCGCAGGCACCAGCTACAATTGCTCCCTTCCCAGAACTTTTTACAGCAACATGAATCTTCTTCACCTTTGAAATGTGACACACTAAGTGAAGGATTTCATTGACATCCACAGGCATCTTTGGCTAGCTGTAGGATCCTGAAAAATCACATACGTTCTTGTCAGTTATAACAAGTTGTATTATTTGTTCAGTACTAAAGACTTCTTAAACTTTAAATTACAATATTGTAGCAGCAGCAGCACGAGAAACCAATTCTGCCTGTTTTTTAAAAAAGAGTTCTTCCACAATAGATAGAAATACAGACCAGACAGTGAAGTAAATCAATTGTACACTTTCAACTTGAAAAACACGTAGGGAGAGACTATTGCATAATTTGCTGGTTTCAATGTTGGTTTCATTTTGCATCATCAGTTCTGATGGGAATATGAATCAGATTTTCCAGTTTATCCTCCCTTAACAAAAAGGATTTCTATCATACCATGGCTACCAAACTAATTATTGCTTTAAGATATTTATACCTGGAGTAATTAGATACATTCCTGCTATCAATCTGCTTGATTTAGAACTTCATTTTGCTGTACTTTCTTATTTCTTTACTCAATTGAGGCAGTATTGAGATCCCAAGCAACAAGGCTACTGAAACATCTGCTTACATATATACAGAGTTCCAACAAACCAGTATCCAAATGGTATTTAATATTAAACAAAACTAAGGAGCTGACATTGAAAATCTTGGTTTGTTTACCCAAGAGTTGTCTTATCAGAACTAAATTTAAAGTTTAAGAAGGCTCCAGCACTGGCCAAAGAAACTAAGCTACACCAAGTTTGTAGTTTAAAAGCCTGCAGGAGGAAGGGAAGTTTGAGGGAAATAAGAAGTTCCAATCTTGAAGTTTTGAGACCGAAAATAAAGCACACAGACAATGAATTTTATTTCAACACAGTGAGGATAAAAGAAAAAGGGGAAAAAATGTATTTAAAGCTTGGGAGGTATAAAAGGGAAGTCTAAGTCAGCAATGGCTATAGTATTGCTAAAATACAAAGGAGTATTCTTGTGAGGTTGCTATTTAAGCACAATGCTAGTTTTGGATGATGCAGTTTTACGCCACATCTACTCTTGCTATGGTTGACCCAAGAGTGTAGAGAGCATTGAAGTACTTAACCTGTACTAGTTACAGCTCCTCCACATGATCTACTCCAATCCCAATTCCCTGATCTTTCTCTGCCCACATCCAAAATTTCTTTCTCTGGCATCAACAGATTTGACTCTAAGAACGACATATTTTACGCCAAAATTGACAAGGAAAATGAATAAAGAGCTACCTTTGTTAAACTGATGGTTCCAGCTGTCTCAAAACATCCTGAGTGGTTTCAGTTTCAAAAAGAAACTGAACTAATCATTTCTGATAACAGCATTTTAAATATCAGGTGCACTGTTACTGTACTTTGTACTTTTGGGTTATTTTGGACAATATGATTCTCTTTGCCCACCACACCCAGATAGTTTACTCTTCTTACCGTTTGCCCACCACACCCAGATAGTTTACTCTTCTTACCATTTGCCCACCACACCCAGATACTTTCCAATACAATGTTCAAGGAAATAAATGGTTTATTCATTGAACCTAATTACAGCCTTAAATGGTAAATATTCACCGCTTAGTAATAATAATAATCCTTGCATTTGATACAGCCTTTTAATCATGATCTTGAGATGTCTGAAAGCGCTTCACGGAAAATACTGCAAAGTGAATTGACTGTGCATTTTGTGGGCGAAACCAAGCAGCCAATTTGCGCACAGCAGCGTCTCACTCGTGGTGGACCGAACGACCAAATTATCATCATTATTATTATTGATTGATTGATTGATTGATTGATTCTTGAAGGGATTACGAGCCGCCTTGAAGTGCCTCGCCCCGGGACACGACATCTTTCGTCCGCACGGTAGAGGTCAGCTCGGAGCCACGGATCAACTTGAAGATAACCTACAGATGAACTTCCGATGCTTTTATTTTTTGGGGGTGTGGGTGGGGGTGGTGGGTGGGGGGGGGGGGGGGGCTGTGCCTCTCAGAGGAGGAGACAGACAGACAGACAGACAGACATTGGCGATTCCGCAAACAGCTGATCAAACCAGAAGCGCAACCACAAGTCTGCGGAGCAGTTTAACTCGCGACCAGAAGAAGATCGAACAGCGCGTTTCCCAGAAGCTTTCGTAGAGATCGATAACTCCGCTTCGCCGACGACTGAGAAAAACGTTCAAAAAAAAAAAAAAACCGGTAAAACTGAGGACTTTTGTTGTCGGAGGGAATTGTTCGGTCTCTGCAAAACCCACGTCCCTGAGATTGAACTTTAGTTTTAGTTTTTGTCTCAAGATTTCCACACGTCCTGAGAGCCCCGACCCGACCCCCACTGATCGGTGAGAAAGAGTTTGGATTGCGAGAGTTTTATTTGCCACTATTTGTGGGGTGTGGTTTGGGGGGTGTGTGTGGGGGTGGGGGGTGTGGGGGTGGGGGTGTGTGGTTTGGGGGTGGGTGGTTTGGGGTGTGTGTGGGTGGGGGGGGTGGTTTGGGGGGGTGGGGGGGGGGGTGTGTGGGGGGGTGGGTGGGTTTGGGGTGTGTGTGGTGGGGGTGTGGTGGTGGGGGTTTGGGGGGTGTGGGTGGGGTGTGGGTGGTTTGGGGGTGTGTGGGGGTGGGGGGGTGGTTTGGGGGGTGTGGGTGGGGGGGTGGGGATGTGTGGGTGGGGGTGGGTAGTTTGGGGGGTGGGTGGTTTGGGGGGTGGGAGGGGGGTGTGTGGGTGGGTTTGGGGTGTGTGTGGATGGGGGCGATGTGGGTGGGTGGAGGGGTGTGGGTGGGGGGGTTTGGGGGGTGTGGGTGGGGGTGTGGGTGTGTGTGTGTGTGGGTTGGTTCAAAGTGGTGGGACAAGTTCAGCCAAAGTGTCGTCCAAGTTCGGGGAAAGTCATTTTGTGGGGAAAGGAGGATCGGTGGCTGTCATTTGGGGTATTCGGGTGGAATTGGGGAAGGGGAGTGTTCTTTTTGTGGGGAGAGAGAGATGAAGGTCATATTTTAAGAGAGTACAGTCAGAATACAGTCTGAACAGCTGATGTCTCGTTTTCCCCTCCGCTGTGAAATCGGATACACCGCCGACGATACATCCACAGCGCAGGAGTCACAACATATTTTTGTTGTTGTTGTTGTTGTGTGTGTGTCTTGTATCACTTTTAAATAGCATTAATCTTAGGCCACCGAAAGAATTTTTTATATCTATATGTATCTATATATATCTATATATACACACACAACGAAGTCGTGCAATTGATCTGTAAACATTACGTGACGTGTTGCAACATTGCCACTTAATTCAGGCAAAATGTTATGGGATGTTTGGGCAGGAAATGATTGCCTCTAAATTAAGAAGACTTTTAGCCTTATTTTGAGAGAGAGAGAGAGAGAGAGAGAGAGTCTTTTATCACGTAAAGATGCCCCAAAAGTATTTCGCAGGCAATTTGGTATCAAGCGTGGGAACTATTTTGGTGAGCAAATGCAACAGCCTGCAGACAGGAAAGCCCCACAAATAGCTGTGGCACTGTTTTTAATCACAAGGATTGTTGGTCTACACACTGGAAGAAACTTCCTTCCCTTTATGGACAATGCACGGGATAGTTCGTGTCCACAAGACAAGACTTCGGTTTCGATCTCGCCTTCGAAACACGGCAGCTCAGATTAAGCAAGAGCGCTTCAGGTTGTTTGTACTTTTAAGTCGTGTGTTCAAGTCACTCGTTGGGTCTTCAGATTAGATGTTAAATCCAGGTCCCATCTGCTTGTTCGGGTGGATATTAAAGATCCCATGGCGTGATTCAAAAAGAGATTCCGTTTCTCTGAGTAGATCATTATTTTGGGGGAGGACGAGTTTGCAGGGCTGTGAGGAGAGCGCGGGGGAGTGGGATTGATTTGGATAGCTCTTTTTACAAGGGCTGGTGCGGACACGATGGGCCGAATAGCCTCGTTCTATGCTGTATAATTCTATGAGACAATCAAACTCGCACTAAAAAATTAAGTACATAAAGCTGAACATTTCCTTTAATATTGCATTAATAGCCAGTGCACATTTCTTATTTTTAGAAGGCATTCAGAATATATGCCTTTGATATCCTACAAGGAATGGGATTAGACTGGATAGCTCCAGTGGGCCACAAGGAGCCAGCAAACATTACAATGAGCTGAATGTCCTCCATTTGTGCAATAAAGATTCTATAATACTCCATTCGTGAGGATGGGTAATACTGATCCAAACTCTTACTGAGAAGTTTTTCAGTACACCTGTCTGCTTAAGAGCCATGTGGTACTGGCGTTGAAATACTCCAAGAGGAATCTAGCTCTGGATAATTAGTGATGTGGTAGAAATTGGTGCAAAAGGTTTTACACCAGTAACATGATCGATTGTAAATAATCATCACCAATAAAATCCTCTTTCTTAAATTGTCTGAATGGATTTCATAGCTGATTAATGATGGATTTCCTTCATCTTTTCAGATCATCCTTTCTATCCTTTCCTGTAAGCTTTGTGGTATATTTTTTAAATCCCATTAGAGGATAATGAAGATTTGCAGCCAACTAAAGATCAGCGTTTGATATTTTTGAATTCTGATGGTTTAAAACATTCTATATTTAAAAATTTTAGGTTGCTGGTTTGAAGTAATCAGGTCTTTGCCGGGATAGATGCAAGAGCTGCAATTAAACTGCCAAGGATTTCAGTACAGTTTCCCGGTTTATAATGCATAACTTGGATTCTATATATGTTTTAATAGGAATAAAGGTAACAATACTGGCTGACAGTAAACCTTTGTTGGAAGCAAATTACAGTGGAGACCCGATACAAGGCATTGTGTACATTTGTCCATCATGCTGGGAAAACTCGCCAGTTTCTTTCTCAATGAGACGTATGAAGACAGCAAAGAAAGCATCAGTGATTTGAACCACATGCTGTATGAGAGTGAAGAAGATGACTGGATTATTGTAGATATCCAAGGTACTTTTTAAGGTGTTTGTGTAATATGTTTTGTATGCAAAGGATTTGCACAGGTGATCTCAGCTAAGATGTACCTGTGCAATCCCTCACAGGGACCTGATAGAAACAATATTTATTTAACTATGAATAAGTTATGAGTGCATTATGATATGAGATAAATGATTTATTCACTAAGTCCCCACTGTGGTTTTTGTAAATCTTCACTGGCCTAGTGTTGTAAATACAAACTATAACAATATTTCCGAGACTTACCCAGGCAGCAGTTTGAAATGTTATGAGATTAGGTTGAGCTGTACCTCATTTAATTTGAACAGTATTTTAATATTATTTTGTGTTCTTTATACATTGCCAAAAGCATATGGGTGTTACCTCAAAGCTGAGAGTAATAGGTATTAGCTATCCTCTTAAGCTCTTAGTCAAAGTGACCCCTAAGAAGTTTACCACAAAGGCTAAGTATATATTCCAGCTTGTAGAATGGCTTTTTGTAGTGGAGTTGAGGTTGCACTGATATAGAGATCTGGCAAAATGAAACATTCCCAATAGAAATAAATTATTTGATTCTGACCTTGGTGATATGAAACGTTTTATTTTTGGCTTTCATTTCATTGTCCCTTTGTTTGTCTTTATTTTAATTTCAAATGTACATCAAAGTTGTTTTAATACAACAAGCAGTTACAGTCACATCTGCGATCCTCTGTATGGCTCAGTACTAAACTGCGAAACCAAAGTATATATTGGCATGGTTTCAGTTGTAAGATTCTCTCATAAGAATTAGTTCTTTGTTGAAGAATTTTGACCAAGTTTTTGCTGCATCATTGTGCAAACTTTATGCTGAAAATTTAGCAAAGCAACTCAAACTGAACCGAGCAGTACAGCGGAAACAAATTAAACTCTCGTGGCAAGACATCAATAGAAAAACCTCTCCCACTAAATCCAAACTGCAGAAGCAACGGGTTGATACAAATGCCAGAACTGCAGGCTGTAAGGTATCAATCTTACACCATTTTAAGACATCTAGATTAGGAAAAATGAGGAGTCAGCAGCTATTACAGGGACAGTCTGATCTAAACACGCCACCAGGAGGAGTACGGTTAATGTTGAAAGCTATGTATTGTGGAAACTGTAGTTCTTTTCTGCTCATATGGAAATATCTGAAAAGAACTACAAATCCTGCAGCAACGCAAGACTTGTAATTTTGACCTGATTTAGGTTTAAACCCTGAACTAGGCCACAGTAAGATATATGACTCACTTAACCGAAATGGTAATATTTCCAGACTCGTAATCTAGAATTTTGATTCAATAAATATTTAAATAAATATCCCAGCTCTACACCTTTAAATTCCAATATGAGATATGTGATTTGCAACTTTAATGGCTGTGTTGATTAATTTATAAATTGTGAAATGACGATAATACTCCTTCCACCTTTCCGGTTTCAATTTATACTTAATTTTTAGATTCTCTTTTTTGGGGTTGTTTGCCAGTTTCTGTCTTAGTCTGTCTACTCCCTTGCTATCCTTCCATCAGCAATGACAATTTTGCATCATGGCCTATCATAATTTTGTAAAATATTCTTTACACCAGACTAAAGACTTTTTAAAATGTTGTTAGAAATGCCATAGGAGTGAGGTGTACCCCGATGTGAAAGACCCTATATAAATTATGTTGTATAAATTCGAATATAATATTAATTATATTAGCATATTAAGAAACATAAGACTCTGTAGATTATCAGAATTTATTACCATTGTCTACACAAAACATTCAATATTCTGAGGGAAGTAACCAATTTCCAACATACATTTGTCCATTTGACATTTTAGCACAGAAGCAGAATTTCTAACAGAATCTGCAAACTGATATAAATCTGCAGTGATACATGACAAAGAAGACAGTTTACCTTGTGTTTAACTTAGTGGCTAATCTCAAAGTCTTGCTTTATTACAGGCCAACAACCAGTGGTGAATGTACCAACTGATCCCCTGGAAAATCTCCTAATTGAACACCCGAGCATGTCTGTGTACTCCCTGGAAAACAAAAACAAGGACAGTGAAGAAGAATCTGCAGCGGAGGAGGAGGGGCAAACTCCCAAGTGTGTAATATAATTTTAGATTGTTTTTAAGTTTAATCTTTCCATTCGAATATGCACTTATATTACAATTACAGTAGAGCCTCATGACAATGTGTCAGCTTGGGGTCAATAAAATCGCAACCAGCCTTATAACTTGGTACAATACTTCTGCATTGTTCATATGCACAGAAAGCTAACTCCCTGCACTAAAAATGGATGATTTCCAAGCCATTAGTTTACCGCCAATGTCGCTTCCTGCTTCCGTAGTGATGTGGGAAGCTGGCCATGCGTTCTCCTTGGGTCCTGCTTTATAAGCTGGTATAGCTGTATTAAGTTGTACTTATTGTTTTCTTAAGAGTTCTCCCATTAAACCGATTCCTCACAGCTCACATCTCTTCTTCACTGCCACTAGTGTTGTGCATCTTACATCTCGAGAAAAACTGAGAAGTTGAGTGTGGCACACAGTTAAATTAGTTTTCATGCTTAGGCCCTTGTTGACATTATTATATCTATTCTGTTGGTTCTTGAGACATGAATAACTGTGTATAACAATATTCTCTTGCTCCAGGCAATTCATTATAACCCAAAGGTAATTTTAAATTACTCACAGTTCTGACAGCAGACGACAATGGTTTGCCTTCTGGGCTACAAAAGTGACATCTGTTGTGCAACATTGTAATATCCTTGGTCTCCAGCATCGAGATTTATAAATACGCTAGCTGACGCTTGCTTCTTTTCCATGATAGTATAATCAGAACAAGTATTCCTTTGAAGTGAATACAACCATGGTTTAAAAAGTTATGTGTTTTGAGCATATTTTTACTATTATTTATTACTCACGTTCATCAAATGAATGCTATCAACTTTCATGAAGCATATTTGGACTGTGCTATTACTATTATTTTAAGACCATGAACAATGTCAGGTATTTTAAAGCACTTAAATAATCTGATATTTTACAAGGCTACTTTGAAAGGTAAGCACACTTTCAAATGTTGAAATGTTGTGAATATGTTAACATTACAGGGAATTTCATCATGTCTTTATGGAGAATATCTAAGAGAACTAGAATGTTTCAACAATAAATGTTTCTTAATATCACATTTCAAGAGTATAACTCATTCCAATACAGAGACAGAAGAAGTGACTTATAGATATCTAATAAATTGTTTGCATAAACAAAAAAGCAAGCAAGACTGTACTTTAATAAATGGGACTCTTTTACTGTCAAACTACCTTTGGGAATTATAAAGAACATTTGTAAGTGATCGGTGTGTCCATTGCAGAGAAAGTATGTCAGTGTCTTGAGCAGTGTATGTTAGTACCCTAGAGTGCTATAATCAATAGTACTTCACTTCAAAGTATTAACATTTGACATAGTAAAACAAGTGGCAAGTTAAATGTTATTTTTTTTCTATCCAGGGTCATTCCGATTGTGCAGTATGTCCCACGAAGAGTGTCTGCTTTCAGGATTCGGGATAGTGTTCTCGAACATACCAGTCATATCCATTTCATGCAATGTGCCAAATTATATGTAGAGAGGCGAAAACTGAGCTGCAATCACCTTCGCAGGCAAAACAGAGCGAGAAAACGCTATTTTGCCAAGGAAAAGCACTTTGGACATTTCAAACAACCCTGTCAGCGCAATCATAAATATTAAATCAGGGAATAGGAGACTGCCTACATAACAATGTATTGAATTGCAGTGGTAAATTCGGAGTGTTAAGTAACTTGGCTTAAAGTTTTTAAACTCTTTTAGATTATAGAATACTGTCGGTAGAGCAAAGCTTATTTAGTATACTTTTCAAAGTCATACAGTATAAAATAATGACATCAACCTCCATTTGTCATACTCAATGGCATTTAGGGTTGTAGTATCTCTATGCTAAAACCTGTATATTTACTCAATACTAACAGTACAAAATCTGTATTTGCTTCTAAACTAACATTACATGTTAATTTGAGACATGGCATTATAAAGTTGTGCAAAGCGAGACCTCATGCAATGAAAACTTGACTGAAGGTGGCAACCTCTGCAGTAACCTTAAACATGGTTTCAGAGGAATGCATCAGTAACCTTAGGAACTTTAGTGCAGCTAAAATTGTACTATTTATGATAACCTGTTCCCTGTGGAACCAACTGTACTGTTGCCTGCCGAGAGCCACAAAGGTACTATATGCATTAAGAATTCCAGGTATTTACAGATGGTCAGGATGTGTGTGTGTGCCACATTATAACAACCATTATTGCTCCAGGGATATACTTCCAACTAGAGTATTAAACATGCAATTGTTGTGATTATTAACTCTTAGACTGCAAGCAGCTCCAGAGTACGTATAACAACATACATTTTAGAAACAAGACTATTTTGTCCAACAAAGTCCATCATTGTTTGGTTGACTCAAGCCAGGCTCTCTGTTCTCCTATTTTATGTACATTCAAGCTTGTAATGTCGCAAACAATCAACATTACAATAATAAAACTGTTAATAGCTATATTACTGTAATATTAACATTATCAATTTATCTTGCCAAATAATGTCATGGGGGAGACAAGACTAGTTTTTCATGCAGTAGATAGTACTTTTCAGATGTTGTTTGTTTTGTTGGCGTTTCAGTGACACAAAGTAATTAATTAAAAAAAGGTGATGAGCCAAGCATTAAAAAGAACATTGTTAATTTTCTGTCTAGCAGTATTAAGTTGCGCAATCACAAACTCAGCACCTGTTATATTTTCCGCTACTGACAAAATGTCAGAAATTGTAATGACCTAGTAAGTCACTGACAAAAATCTATTAACCTACCTCCTGTCAAAGAAAAAAATGTTTCCTGTTATGCAGAGCCACATAGCTCAGGAAGGGCCTGCATTCAAATTGCCAGGCATTGCCGAGCCCATCTCAACCAGAGCAGCAGCGGGACCTTAACATCTCTGGACTGAAAAAGGAGCAAAAATCACTTAAGACGCTCAATATCAATTGCTATCCGTAATAGATGTGCACGTACTAAGTGGGGACAAGAGCAGACTTTGTTGTTATATCTTTAATGACTAAACACTCACTGACGAGGCTCCCACATAATAGCCACTTGGCTGAGGTGCTAGAGAGCTATCAGTGCTCAACACACTACATCCAGAAGTAATGACTAGCTTCAGAAGATGGTTTAACAAAGTGAAGAGTTGACAAAGTAAATGCAGTAAAATAGATACTGAGTAGACGGGCCATTTTGTTGCCTGTAATTATTTGTAAACTTTAGTTTGTAAAATGTAAACAAAAAAAGCCTTCAACTGTTACAATGTTTTTAAACTTACTTGAATGGGCCAGTTTCAAAATATAAAAAACAGTTCTATTTTACAAAGAGCAGCTGGGACTTCATTCATGTAGTTGCATACTTTATAATAGGTGTGCATGCTGTGCCATAAAATAAGTGGGAGAGATTGATTCTTGACAAACATTTTAAAGAGGCACTGTTTCACTAGATCTTACTGATGCAAGTTAAAATATAAAAATTGACAAGAGATGTAAAAATAAAGTTGATTGTTATTCTTGTAAAAGTTTGGTAATTGACTAAATAAAATTTATATGCAAACAGAAAGTTGTCTTTCAGTGCTTAATTGATGATGGAACCGTTCAAAACCTTTGTGATTTATGAGCTTGATGTTTCGCCCACAAAATATAGTCAATTCACTTTCAAAATATCAAGCTCAGTATATTCTGTGAAGCGCTTTGAGATGTCTCGAAGATGTGATAAGGCGCTATATCAAATGCAAGAATATATTACTACGGAGATTTTACTGTGATATACAGCAGGTGAATCGAGGTCAGCATCAGCAGTGCATAATCATGGCAGCTCTTAAACAAAATGAATTGTACAACTGCTTGCAGTTTAAGCAGGGGAGGGGTTGATGGGTACATTACATTCTTACCTGAATGATAAAACCAGTTTCTTAAGGGTATGACTTCTTTATTGAGGGCAAATTTTTTTTTAGCTTTCTAAATGCAATAAATCACATCATAGATCGGGTGATAATTATTTACATCAACTGTTCAATTGTTGGATTGGCTACATACAGTTTCACGATTTATACTTATACCTTTGACTCTTAGGTATCAGCATTTAATCCAACTCATTGTGTCTGATCAAAAGCAGTCTTTAAGTACAAATATGAGAATTATATACACTGCTTACATACATTATAGTTTAAGTTAAAAGAACAATCACATCACATCAAAGCATCAAAATTCAGAACCTCATAAGCATTAAGTGAAAATCTGTGCCCACACTAACACTGGTGCTAAGTCTGTTCATCACTTGAAATGGATTACATTGGGTTATATGCTACAACAATAAGTGCTGAAGTTTTATGCTCTCAGGTGATGCATCTTCTCCATAAACTTCTTTATCCTTTCAGAATCCACCTCATTAGCCCAGTATCCTCCTTTTTTGAAATGGGACCCAATTATCAAAGCACTTGCATCCGTGTAGTGCTCCAGATTTTCATGGGTCACACCAGAGCCAATGAGAACTGGAATTCTTACAGCCTGTTTAACCTCTGCAGGAAAATATTAAAGACAATGATATTACACCCCTTTTCAGTCTGTGCATTCCAAGATATGCATCACAATACTAAACCTATCCGTATATATCCTGAATATTTTGTGGATTCTTTGACAATTGGCATATGGTTATTCTCTTCCCTTTGCTTGAATGTTTCATAATTTGAAGATTTCCAGCTGGTAACTGTCAGTTGTTTCACCTATCAGCTGACAAACAGTGATCTCTGAATCATAGATAGCCCCTCTTGGGATTCTGACTTGTGACCATCTGGCTGGGAGGTAGTCCTGTCACTGCTGGACAACGCTGCAAATTATTCAGATCATTTGTCACTAGAACAACAGGCTCTTTTCTTGCAGTGAATTCTCTTCATTTTATTGGAGTAATACTTTCATGGGTGCAGTGTTTAAGAAATCTCATTCACTGTAATTCTCTTAAGCAGGCAATTATCTATCTAAATATTTGCTCCTCGACTGTATCATGCAGTCAGGTAATTTGTGTTAGTATAACGTGTTAAATTCATTGAACGTCTCAAAATATGGAATAAAATGGTTTCTGAAAAAGCTGCACAACCAAGTAGTAGCCAAATGACACAAACATTAACATCCTAAGTCTGAATATTTCTACTCATGACAGCTATTCAGCATCAATAATACAATTTATATAGCACCTTTCATAGCTTGCTCCTGGTTTCCCGCCCGATCCGCCCTACCATCGGTGGCCAGGCTTTCAGCCTCTCTGCCCCCACTCTTTCGAACTCCATCCCACAATCCCTTCGCCTTGTTCCCTCTCGTCTCCTTCAAGGTATGACTCAAGACCCTCCTTTTTGACCGTACCTATGGCTGCCCTCCTACCTCCTCTGCCCTCCCTCATCCAACCTTTCCCCCACACTCAGGTCCTGATCCCTGACTGTTCAACCCTTGGGATGTCCTCCTGACGTGAAAGGCGCTTCAAAAATGTAATTTTGTTGTTGTTGATGTTGGGGAGGCATCTCAAAGAGCTTGATAGTCCTGACTGGGCACCGGAGGTGAGTGAAAGGAGACGGTCAAGATGACCATAAGCGCGGTCAAAAGGTATGTCTTGAGACAGGGACTCTGGGATGGAGATCCAGAGAATGGGGGCATCAGGGTAGGCAACATGAACCAGTTCAGTGATCGCTGAGCAAAGAGTGTGACCAGCTTTACATTCTTAACCTAGCTTTTGACGTTCAGAGAATAATATTGTGCTGTTGGACACAAAGGAATCCGAGTATTGGGAACGCCGATAGGATACATTATAAAAGCAATTGCTTTGAGTGCAGCCTGTTATGAAGACAGGGCACAACTCATTAATGTTGCTGCTCCCTTGTATGTGTATATCTTCTTAAACCCGTGTAGATGTAATCCATAGATAATTCAGCTCCAAGTTTAGACTTTGCCATTCCTAGTTAAGTAAAAGTAGGCCATTGTTAATTAGGCCTTTGATCACTGTCGAGCAAAAACAGCTTCATTATGTGCTGTCTTCTCAAAATTCTCCAAGGATCAAGGGTATTGTTGCAAGTTATTTTTTACTGTGTGCATTTTAACTGGAAATTACACCAAAAACTAATCCTAGGCCTCAGTATTAAACTGATTACCGGCAGTTTTCGTTTTAGTTGTAACTCTAACCACCTCATATCACTGTTGCAGAAATCATCTTTGGAAGATTATAGGTTGTTAACTATTTGTAAAATCGTGTACAGAGAGAATTACAGGAGCCCATTAAATACCGAATTCACCAATGAATAGAATGACAGAATCACTCGTTATCCTTTTCATTGCATCACTATAGGGGGTAACCTACATCAGCCCATCTACCACGTGCCATCAGATTCCATGTTTTTATGAATTAATGTGTAATCTGATGTGCTGCCAATGTCTTAGGAATTGGTAGTTTGTATAAAAAGCAAAGCAGCTTGGAAAAGGTGGTATTCCACATTCAATAATACGCACTACCTTTACAATAATTGCAACCAGTACTAAGGCAATATTTTAACATTAACATTAAAAATACCCCGTGGAGTATGCTGAACTACATTTAACTTACTGATGATGTAAATGAGCCGAACATCCTATCAGCATTTATATTTCACAGCTACACACTCTGGGCAGCATGCAAAACAATTGAACCTTTGGGAACTTATAAATCACCAATTAAACATAAATTTGGGATTTTGCACAAGGTACCTAATGGATGTCCATAAGGACATCAGTAGTGCTTTGAGATGTCCTCCTGATGTGAAAGGCACGATATAAATATAAATTGTATTGTGATATCTATTAGCAATTCCACTCAGAATTCCATACCTTTTAGCTCCTCAGGGTCTGCCTGCATTCCAGTGGCTGTTCCCGTCAGGACGACACCATCGCTCAGGAAGAACTCAGCAGCCTTGGCAGTCTCGGGGAGGCTGATATCTGATGTCACAGCGTGTGAGCTGCAAAAACAAAGCAACTGTACTTTGAGCTTCTCATCAAAAAAGATATGGCACTGTGAAAAATTCTGCCTGAATCATTTTTTCTTTAAAATGTCAGGAATCTGAAAGAGGGTAGGGAAGTATGTTGGTGGATGATAGATCTCCAGGTCATTATTCAATCTAACCATTACCCACACTGAGCTCTTGAAATATTTCACCCCTGTATTGGGTATAACTCTGAATGGCTGGTTACAATGTGGCACTGGTAAGAGGCATGAGAGCAAGTCACTTAGGCGCTCCCAAAACTAGTAAACATTATTTAGTGCAGAGGGAACTATGAAAAAGAATGGAAAGGAAAAATAAAGAATTATTACACTTATTGGCAACAGCACTACCTCAAGACTATTGTTAATTTGCATTCTTTCCAAGTAGCTGTATCAGCTCAGATAAACATAGACCTGATTGGAAGGAATAATAGATCTCAAAATTGAATAATTGAGCTAAAAGAAAATCTGATAACACGTTAAGCACGAGTCATTGTTTTGTCTGAGGCAGAACTTAACTTCAGGATCCTGTTGATACTTCTAGAAACAAAGGCAATGTTAATGACTGAACAGTTTGGATCCATTATTGAGAAAAGCTGATTGAGGAAGTGCTTGTTGCATTTGGTCAAAAAACAGGCAAATAGTAATGCATTAATACATTCAGTGCATAACTTCACAAAAAACATCCACAGGACTCTGCACTGAAAAACAAACTTATACAGTGTTTTTATTGCTAATTATCAGTATTTTATATCACAGTAATTTAATTGAATTTGATCTCCCAGTTTACACTGAGGGCTGCTTAGATGTAATTCTTGGGCTGTATTTCAAGCCTATTGCATTTTTCCAAAATGTCTTACCAACTGTTAGAAAAAATGGATCTCTATTCAGAATCCGTAGGTGCAGAATCACAAGAAAATCAGACATTTATAGCAGATGTCCAATCAGTCTGCTCCTGGAAACAATGCAGCCAATACATGGCCAACCAGGGGTGAACAATCATAGCTTAAAACCCAGAATGATCCAAATTTAGCTGATTTTCCAATTGTCAGTAGAAATTTGGCGCTAAAGCCAAATTTCTCTTGGGAGACAGAATAGTTTTCTTGTAGTGGCTTAGATAATGTATTTGACAGTTCTGCTACCTTGTAACAGAAGTGTGTGGCTAGCTGCTGAGGAGCTAGATTCACACCTTGGAACAAATTTGCTAGTATCAAAATGGGGGTGGCAGAGAAAGCAGACTACTTCACTCAAGCATATATCCTGCTGAGTTGATTAAAAGCAACAGTAATGTGGTCTGTGGAGATGTCCACTTGTTCAATTGTCTTCCACCCCAAGTGAGAAAGAAAAGGAGATCAGTCACACACTATGCTGATGTTTTATTTTATGGACGCAGATGTTGCTATGAACTCCCCAACTCCAACAAACTCCTTTATCCTGCAGTCTTGATAACCTCATCTTTACAGTTGTGGTCAGAAAATTAAGACGGAGTACCATCACCTATAGTATGCACTTGCGATAAAGCTTCCAGCAAATAATCTTGTCAATTGGTATACAATAAAACCATTCAAGTCTTGAGGTGTTATCTGCACAATGGTCTTCTACAGTGTACCTCAGCTGACACATTTGTGAGACGATCCAATGATGTAAGATGTATTGTTATAATCTGACTTGATAAAGGATCCCAACCAAATAACAAGTAACCGACAAACAGTTTTGTTGTACCATATCATACCAATTTTGCGTGGTAGACAGGAATTGAGATTTCTGTTACACCACAACCATCTAGTTATTAAATCTCAATTGTATCAGCAGGCGGGCTTTCAAACATTCTGCCCCGACTCTTTGGAACTCCATTCCAGAGTCCTACTGACTCACTCACCTCATGCAAAGCCTGTCTCAAGGTGCATCTCTTTAAGACCGCGCTTTCAGTCATCTTTCCCCTCCCACCCATTTCAACACCCACCCAACAGTGTTGAGATGATCAATCGATGCAAAAGCTGCTGTATAAATGTAAAGTGTATTGTAATAATTCACCAGACATCTACAATATCAAGCTTGTACTGAAAACATAAGTGGTGGACTGCACATTTTATAAAGACTTACAGCTGACAGAAAGGTAGACATTATATGTACTTATGACAATATTTACCTGTGCTTTTTTTTGATGTCAGTAAAAACTTGAATGTGCTCAGCTCCTATTTGTTTGCGGTACCTCAAAAGGTCACCAGCACATGCATTTAGAAGACCTTCATCTGCAATATGCGAGAACACAAATCCCTCAACTCGGATAAAATTGAAACCTAGGAAAGAGAATATAACGTTTCACTGACAAAGCTTACTCTATTTATCCAAAGTTTAAACATCCAAATCCTTTTATTGTGCCACTAGTTTTCAACTGGTTCATACCCATCCAACAGTGAGGCTTCAAAATGAACAGTTATACAACTTGTAAATATACTTTTTCTGTACCTACACTTGATGAGAGACTAATATTTACAGTGTACTGACCAGCAGCAAGAGCAACTGCCATTGCTTGATGGTTGGCCGCAGAAAGGATCTGGACACCCAGGAGAAGATTGGGACAGGATTGTCTTACAGCAGTACAAACAGCTGACATTGTAGCTGTCACTTCTGGACCGATGGTCATTGTGTAAGGAAGATCATGCATATTTTCCACTATTAGTCCATCCTAGAATCAAATAAACAATTCCGATTCATCTCAAAAACTTATTTCTCACCTACCAATGTGACTGTTTTTTCTATGTGTTCCATGATAAGAGTAGTTTGTTGTACTTCTATTTATTATTTTAAATGAAAGATAAATGGTCATTATGATGATTAAATCTGGAGAATTGGGTTGAAGGATTTACAATAGCAGAGGGAATCTAGATCCGTTGAATTAACATCCACAGTTGTAATAAGAATTATAGTTAGGGCTACTATTTCAATCAAGCAATAAATAACATGCTGCAGACACCCAAAATTCTCACAGAGCATTTCCTTTCATTCTAGCACCACCAAAGCATTTTTTTAAAACTCATTGCCCAAAAGTAAATTGTGAATTGGGACTTATAACCAGTACTTACTCAAACGTGAATATGCTCAGTTTCTTTAATCATACAGGCGACATGGAATCATCTCTCTATCGTGCCTCCCACCCACCCATGCATGTATTATACAGCGGATTTGGGTTGTGCTTGATTTGGATACGATCTCCAATTATACATACACTACATTTTACAGTGAAGTACAGTAAAGCACTTTGCGACATTCTCCCAGCGTGAAAGACACAATATCAAATAAAAAGGTTATTTATTAACCACTGAAGGTAACTGTGGTAGATTAATAGTGTTCTGCCTTTCTGATTCAGACGACCAAACTCACTGATCATTTGGGGACAAGGTACATATGAACTCTAGGTCTGGTCAGATTGGGTCGATAATCACAAGCAGGATCATTAAAGCCAAATTCTACTGCTACAACAACAACAAAATTATATTTAGAGCACCTTTCACATCGAGAGGACATCCCAAAGCGTTGAACAGTCAGATGTCGGGGCCCGAGCATGGGAGAGGGGTGGTGTAGGGGTGAGGGAAGGTAGAGAGGTGGGAGGGCAACCAAAGGCATGGTCGAAGAGAAGGGTCTTGAGATCGGCCTTGAAGGAGCAAGGGAGGAAGCGAGGCGAAGGGACCGTGGGATGGAGTTCCAGAGTGTGGGGGGGGAGAGGCTGAAAGCCTGGCCACCGATAGTAGGGCGGGTTGGGCGGGAGACATGGAGTAGGCTGGAGCCCGCTGAACAGAAGGAGCGGGCAGGTTGGTAGGGAATCAGCAGGTCAGAGAGGAAGGAGGGGGTAGGGCCATGGATGGCCTTAAAGGTGAGGACGAGGATCTTGAATTCGAACCTCTGAGAGATGGGGAGCCAGTGGAGTCGGGCAAGGGTGGGAGTGATGTGGTCACGGAGCCTGATGCGCGAGAGTACATGTTCTCCAGAGTTTTGGATGATCTGCAGCTTGTGAAGGGAAGAGTTGGGAAGACCAATGAGGAGGGAGTTTCCATAATTGAGCCTTGATGTGACGAATGCGTGGATAAGGGTTTTGGCAGCGTGAGGGGTGAGGCAATGATGAGTCTGGCAATGTTGCGGAGGTGGTGGTAGGTAGTGCCGGTCATGGCGCGGATGTGGGGGAGAAAGGACAGTTCAGGGTCAAACAAGGCACCCAGGTTCCTGACTGGCTTAGTGAGGTTCAGTGTGCAGCCGTGGAGGCTGATGCTGCCAGCGCCTGAGTTGCAGAGGCGCTGGCACGAGCCAATCAAGAGGGCCTCGGTCTTGCTGACATTAAGTTGGAGAAAGTTGGCCCTCGTCCAGGACTTGATGTGGGACAGGCAGTCGGTCAGGACGCCAGTAGTCCTGTAGCTCAGTGGTTAGAGCACTCGCTTTGCACGTGAGAGATTTGCGTTCAATTCCAGGCACAGGGCGAAACCTTGGGCAAGTTTCCTTACTCCACACAGAGCCTAATAATAATCCCTCCAAAACCCAAAACAATAATAAATTGGTCATTTTCAATCTACGACTGTTTGTGGGACATTATACAGTCAATTCACTTTACAGTGTGTTCTGTGAAGCGCTTTGCGACGTCCTCCCGACGTGAAAAGCGCTATATCAAATGCAAGGATTATTATTAGTAGTAGTAGTCCTGGAATTCAGGGTGGAGGCAGAGAGATAGAGTTGGGTGTCATCCGCATACATGTGGAAATTTCCCCCATGTCTGCAGAAGCTGTCACCGAGGGGGAGCGTGTAGAGGGTGAAGAGGCTACTAGTGCGGTATCAGTAACTCCTCTAATGATATATTTAACACTGAGAGGTGTTGACATTAAAGTTACAATGGTCTGTAACAAGTTTCTAATTGCGTTCCCGATTAAAAATGCGGGAGAGACAACAAAACGCGTGACACAAGCCGAGGGTCTGGGCCTGTGAGTGGGATCGAAGCGGTTTGCTAAACGGGGTGAACTGAATGAAGTACGTACGATCCCGGCACTCAGATACACGGCAGCTTCCCGACAGGCCTCCTCGGTGATGTCAGACACGGGCAAGTGGCTGCAAGGAGACCCTGGGCACAGAGAGAGAGACAGAGAGAGAGAGATCAGCTACAGGCAGTGCGGGTACTGGGGGCCGTGGTCCCGAGGCCGCGCTCACCAGGCAGGGCCTTGACATGAACCATCCCGATCACTGCACATCTCACGCGACTCGAGAGCTGCGCCAACCCCATGGCTTCACTGTCGGATCCCCGCCGTAGGCCTCAGTTTTTTTTTCGCGCGCGGTGTGGGGGGCGGGGGAGGGAGGGAGGGAGGAAATACTCGGCGCCAAATTTCTGACGATTATTGATCAACCGGAGCCGCCTCCCCCGGGGCCTGACCGTAGGCCGCGAGTGGCGGCAGAGTTTCCCACACCACACCCCCACCCATCAGTGTCTGTGGTTAGCGTGAGATGGTATCAAGGCCCGCGCGGAGCCAGGGACCAGAGATCGGACCCCGGGACGGGGGTTCGCGAGCTCCGGCCCAGCTCTTGTTTACATCCCGGGGAAGTAGTGAACGGCCGACAATTGCGCGCCCGATCGCGGCTCCTCCCTCGTCCCGCAGACCCCAGAGGCCAGACTTGGCGGGGGGCATGCGCAGTGAGCTCGGGCCACGGCGGGCGGGGGGAAGCATGCGCAGTGCGCTCGGGCCGTGGCGGGGGGCATGCGCAGTGCGCTCGGGCCGGGGCGGGGGGCATGCGCAGTGCGCTCGGGCCGTGGCGGGGGACATGCGCGGTGAGCTCGGGCCCTGGTATGGGCGGGGCTACTGGGTATGGGCGGGGCCACGCGCTTGGACTCTGTCCATGCCGCCAGCTGTTTAAAGCCGTGGCGCAGGCGCACAGGGGTCGAGCCGGGTGGCGTTTATAAAGAAGCGGCAGCACCGAGCGGGGAAAGAGAGCGATCCCGCGTACCTGCACACGTCCCGCCGCCTCCTTCTCCCCCCTCACCCACCCTCCCACACACTCAGGGTGGCTTTCCCTCTCCTCGACACCACCCCCGGCCGCCCCTGTCTCTCGGCCGCCCCCTCCTTGTCATCACTCGCCGCCCCCGGAGAGAGGTCTCCCGGTAAGTCTCTCCCCGAAGGGGTCGCGCGACCTGTGATGGGTGATTTGTGATGGGATGAAAGCGACCCCCCCACCACCCCCCATCCCGGGTTGACCCGATCCCGGCTTCGGCTTCTTTCGGGCTGCGATCCGAGCGGGAAAAGAGAGACGCTGGTGTGTGTGTGTGTGTCTGTCTGTTCTGTGTGTGTGTGTGTGCGCTGTGGGGTTTTTTTTCGCGGTAAAAGACGGCCCGGACCGAGTGGGGTACCCACTGGATTAGCCCCTTTGTGAGAGGGAAGCGCCGGGGAGGGTCCGGGATTATCGCGGGCATTAACGATAACGTGACTGGGCCCCAGGAGTCGTCCGGTTCCCGTCCCGCGCTCAGCAGCCCGCGCCCCGACCCTCTGAGGGCGACATTCACAGCGAACCCAAATTTATCTTCTCTCCATCACAGGGCGCCTTCAGTTAGATTTACTCTCAACGAGATGCCGAGGAAAAGGTAATTACAACAACATTTGATTTATTTCCCCTCAGACTCGGTCCTGTGCGGGTTCATGGCAATGCCCACTTCAGGCCTAATGCCTCCAGTGTAATATTTGCACGTTTTTTTAAAACTTTTTTTTCCAGTGAGAGGATAGAAGATAAGGCAGCAAAGACTGAAGAAAATAAAGGGCTACTATTACGATCCAGAAAGCGAAAAGCAGATGTAGCCATTGTGAGTTTGTCTCTTCTCTTCTCCCCCCCTCTCCCTTCCCCCCCCCCCTCTCCCCCCACATACTATTTTTCCTACTACTCCAATACTAGATTTAGTAATAAATATATTCTATCCCAAGTGTTTACAGGACTTTGATGAAGTTACAGAAGCGCAAACAAAGAAAACATTCGACACACAGGTAACTTCACTTTCTGTAACTCAATCAAGATATTTTTTGAAAATGTGGAGTTGGTTAACTGGGTATCAAAATTGCAAATGTTGATATAATATAATGTTTGCAATATTGATGGGTTTCATCATAGTTTGGCAAGATGGATGTCCGACCCATGTGGAAACCACTGTGCTTTATGTTTCTTTAAGTTTCTAAATCAGTCAGTTCCCACATTTCCCTGTGTCTGCAGTAGAAATGTGCACTCTCCCTGAAGAGACACACCATGCTTATCTAGTTCTGAGAGCATTTGGCACTGGTTGACAAGAGCCAAGCTTGGGGACCTTAACATGTTGGGATAGTGCTATTTAACCAGCTAAAATCTCACAATTTATGAATGAGTGCAACTTGGGCTATCTTACCTAATGGGGCCTTGGCTTAAAGGCCCCATTAGGAGCTGAGTGGGAAGAATCCCTGTGACTGATCTGTCCCTCCAGTTCCTAAAATTGAGCCAAATTGGCCAACAGAATGTCAGATCGACTCAACCCTCTCTGGTGGTCTCAATAATTCAAGTCCTGAGTGTGGTGGGTTTTCAGCATTTAAAAGGTTTGATGTCAGACCCACCTCACTCAGGACCTGGATTATTGAGACCACCAGAGAGGGTTGAGTCAATCAGATATTCTGTTGGCCAGTATGTTGCTGTGGAGCCACCTCAGCAGCAAGGGAACCCTACTTACTCACTCCCCGGGACCTTCCCATTCATAGTGTACACATGCAGGAGAGAGACCTAGTTGAGTAGATAGAGCTAACAGAAGATCAGAAATTGGAAGGTACAAAGGTATGAAGGGATTTATGGGTGAGAACCTTCAACATTGGTTGGTGAGGGTGATGGGCATGTAGCATTTAGTACAGGTGAGAAGTAGATGGTGAAGATTAGTCATTAGGGTTTGAACTGAAGGTTCATTGAGTTGGAAAGATTGAGTAAGTTGAATTCAGAGCATGAAGATGTTGGCAGGAGTTATGGAAGATGGCTTTGGATTATCCATTAACTGAAAAACAGTGAGGCTTAATTCTGAGACAGGAAGTCAGAATGTCAAGGAATCCAGGGAGGAAGAAAGGTAGTTTTGGGTGTCATTTTGTGTAACGTGGAAATTAACTCCCATGTTTGCAGATGTCATCAATGGGAAGCATGGATATGAAGAGGGGGTGGAGGGTGGAGTCCTAAAATGCACTGCAGGTGACTGAGGATAGTAGAATTAGCTATTGGTGGAAATAAATTGGAGGTCAAGCATGGCTGCAATTAAGAAAATGTTCCTGCATTGGTGGATGAGTGGAGAAATGATTGAGAATATAAATGAGGGAGGTTGACAAGATGCAGAGAATTCTGGTTGCAGAGTTCCCTCTTGAATAGTTGGGTTACTGCCTTGCCCTAAATAATCACTTGACGTGTTTTTTTTCCTCCAGTGGGATTTCTTGAGGGTAACAATCCCAGGGAGTGGGTGAAATGTTCTCTCTGTCCCATGTTGCCATTTCAAGTTTACCAAAGTAGTAAGCTTTATGAAAATATGGGGGGAGTTAGACACAAGTGCATTTTTCATTCTTATTCTTGCCCCAAACCACAAATATAGTAGTAAACAGCTTGTATCCAATTTATTAATTTCAGGCTTGCTGGAATACTGATCCCAACTGTACAAGTCCATGTAGGCTCATTCCAACACCCCAAAAACATCCAGATGGTGTGGCTACATTGAATACTGACAGTTGTGTGCAGTACAGATTCAAAAATGTCTTTGTCACACCAACTAGAGCTTCACCATTACCAATATTGGGGTAAGTCTACATTCATCTGTTCTCAAAATGCACTGGGTTTGCTTCAATGTTGTAGGTCTCAAACTGAGTGGAGGCTGGGAACAGTTGCTTTTGGTTGTGTTCAATGATTAATCTGTGCCCTTTTGTTTTAACAGCTGGGCAAATCGAGATGAAGTTTGGAATAATCTTGTGAAGAAAGATCAAACATATCTACGAGACAAAGATGTTTTGCAGAAACATCCACTCTTGCAACCTAAAATGAGGGCTATTCTTCTAGACTGGCTAATGGAGGTAAATACTCAAATAAAATCTTTGTATACTTGTAGAAATCTGTTGTAGTGATAACCATTTTACAATCCAGACTATGGATTTCTACTGGCTTTAAGTGGGAAGACTGATAATCCTGATCTAATACTCCACCCATTTCTTTTAAGAAAAGTCTTCTACATAAGACTAAACATAGCTGGTCACTTTCTTCTTCTCCCATGAAGACCAGCCATTTCAAGTCTTATAAACTGAACCCCTCCAGTGGACGCATTTCAAGCGAAGGGAGTTTCTCCCGGTGTCTTGGCGAGCAATCGCCCAATAAAATTCTTTTATTCACTTCCACTTTACATTAAATCCTGTGAAGTGCTTTTAAGATGTCTTCCTGATACGAAAAGCGCTATACCAAATTGTAAGTAGTATTCAGAAGCTTTGTTCACTCGCATAGTAGTTGGCATTTTGTACTGAGCAGGCTGCTGTTTAGAATTTGTGCCAGATGGCCACTATTTGGATACCCAAATAGCTATTCTCTTACTTGGCTTGGGTGGAATATATATGGGTGGGAGGGAAACTTATTGACTTAACTTTGAGATGCCTCTTATCTATACAGTGCAAGTACTATACTCAACCAAAAAAATCTAGTAGGATTTTTTACAGAAATTAAAATTCTTTTTCCTTTCTCCCCCCCCCCCCCCCCCCCCCCCCCCCCCCAGGTTTGTGAAGTCTATAAACTACATCGAGAGACACTTTATCTTGCTCAGGACTTCTTTGACCGATTTATGGCAACACAGCAAAATGTTGTGAAAACCCGCCTTCAACTTATTGGCATTTCAGCTTTGTTTATCGCTGCAAAACTGGAGGTAGGAGAATGATTGGTTCTGCTGGATTCTTTAATTATCTTACACTTCTCATGCAACTGAAGTATACTTAATTGTGCATTTTTGTTGCAGGAAATTTACCCACCAAAGCTGCACCAGTTTGCCTATGTTACAGATGGTGCTTGCACAGAAGATGAAATCCTTGACACTGAACTTATTATTCTAAAGGTACCATATTGAACTGTATGACTACTGTTTCCAGGTTTGCCCTTAATGTGGCCAATACAAGAGATACAAATTTGGCCAATAAAGCAAACTTAAGTTTGAAAAAGAAACTAAGCTGGAATAGCAGACCTAGAGCAAGTTATGATCTGTATCTGATCACTGGTAATATTGTTGGCAAGTAATTAACAGTACAGTATTCTGTTCTAGGCTCTGAAATGGAGTTTGTGTCCCATAACTATTGTGTCGTGGCTGAACATCTACATGCAAGTTGCATATTTGAAAGAAATGTATGAAGTGCTGGTACCACAATATCCTCAGGAAGTATTTGTACAAATAATGGAGGTAAATATCTTCAGATATTCCACTGCATTTGCTTATTCTTTAAATACTGCATTGAATTGAAATCTAGTACAGCATTTGTTTGCTTTTCTGCTTCAATTACTTCATATAGTTACTGAGGCCGTGACTCTGATTAACCAATAGACAAGAGGCAGAATGATCCATAATCTTTACCAGCTGTTGTGCATTTATTGGCCAGTTGAAGTCAGCTCTGGTGAAGGTTTGGCAGCAAATTGCCTGTTTCAGGCTTGTCTTGAAGGGGTCTTAAAGCTTCCACATCAGTAGAGCTGCAGATTTGGCAGAGCATTTTCTTGTCAAATCAATAGTTATGGGGAAATGTTAGAATTCATCTACACCTCATTGTATCTCCCAATATTTCCAGTATCTAAACTAGGACATGCTTCACTGGGTATCTATGGGTTGTTGCCTCACGAGTAGATAACAGATTTCATATCTACTGCCTGAGAATGTTTGAAGGGTGGTAATGCTTTTTTTTGCTTAGTGATTGTGGGGCATGGAAGAGAGAAAAGAGAACTCAATTGGCTGGTAGGGGCCTTCAATTTGATTTGCATTGTTGGGGATCGTGTAATTGCCATTCTCCTCTGCCTTATTTGTTATCCTCCATGACTTCTTGCCTGAACAACTGTAAACTCACATCCTAATGTAGGAAAAACTGTTGTGCCCCATCCAGTAACCACTGTGCCAGAATATGCCCTATTATTATGGTCTGTTTTGCTCACAACTAATGAGCTGCAAAAAAGAATCTACATATCAAATTCCTGAGCACTGTGTTTGAGTTGTGCAAGAATGGTACAATCCTACTTATTGATGCTGTAATCTTTATTCAGTACCACTTTCAAGTTAAGCCAACTCGGTCTCTATATAGCTCCCATATAATGTGGTTAAGTGCTCAGATATTATCCAGGTGAAGGGAGCTACATAAATTTTTAACATTGGTTCAAATTCATACATTTACAAGTGCAATTCAGTTACTTGCATGTTTAAATTTAATTTTATATATGATATTGAAATTAACCCAATTTTTTTCCCCAACAGCTTTTGGATCTCTGTATCTTGGATCTCAAGTGTTTAGAGTTTACATATGGATTAATAGCAGCTTCAGCTTTGTACCACTTTTCGTCATGTGAAGTGATCTGCAAAGTCTCAGGTATAGACCAGTTACAACTTCTGAAGGCTGTCTTTGTCTTCCATTCCTGAAGCTATCTTACTGCTGAGTAGAAATGTGTGAGCTTTAGCTATTCATGTGGGGATGGGAGAGAGAAAGTCAGCAGACATTGTACAAAGTCTAATCCTGTCCCATACATTTGGGCAAGGCTGCTGGCCAGTGATTGGGAATGGGAACTTTTTTCCCCCACCCATGAATCGCAGAGGTACTAAAGCAAATTGAAGTGTTATTAATGCTGTACCCTGGCACATTTAAGCAGATTGTAGCTTAGTACTGCATCATGTAATAGCATTGCCTACCTATCTGGAAGCTTTTCTGCAGTATTAATTGGTAATGACAGATTTGTAAATGCAAATGTAGTCAATGTGATTATATTGCATGTGGTAGAATGTTTCCAATACTAGAATATAAGGTGCTATGAGAAGTGGAAAGATAATGACTATTTGACATTTAGGTTTTGAATGGAATGAAATAGAAGCATGTGTGAAATGGATGGTTCCATTTGCTATGGCCCTAAGAGAAGTGGGAAGTACAAAACTGAAGAAGTTGAAAGACATAGCAGTGGAAGATGTACACAATATACAGACTCACTCAAACAGCCTGTTCTTACTGGTGAGTCACACATGGGTGTAGATGTATTAAACTAATCAATGTTAAAGTAGCGACTGAAGGTTCGGACTCTCTAGTACTTTTACTGTACAGGCCGATAGAATGAACTTAATACGTAATGTCTTTCAAAGATCTGTCTGTATAAATCGGTTGAGGTGGTATTAATAATGCTAGAGCCCTGACTTCACCTGAGGGAGGTTTCACAAGCAATGCAATTGACTCCAAGCTGACTACAAATGCTATGATTGTGAATTGCATTGGACAAGTCATCTTATTCATGACTATTTTGCTTTACAGTCAGGAAGTCTTCTAGTTTTCAAACTTCACTAATACTACAGTCTAGTGATCCACGAAGTTACTAACCAAAACTAATAAATATCCTAAGTGAAATAATGCATTTCTAATTTTATTCCTTTATTCTAGGATAAAGCTCAAGAAAAGCAAGCTTTGTTATCTGAACTAAGCAGGACTTCTCCTGTGCCTTCTGGTGTTTTAACCCCACCACAAAGCAGTAAAAAACCTATCCTTGATGCACGTTTGCAATAGGAATGGGAAGACAAATTGGGTGAATGTTTTACACCTGGAAGTCGAATTTTGACTGTAAGCCTTAATTCAACAAATGTTGAACTGTAAATGGACTTTATTCTTAATGATCTACCCTTGGTTGCTGCAGACAATGACCTGAAATCTGATGCTTGCAGCGGTAGTGTCATTCAATTCCAGCAGTTTAAAAAAACACATTACTTGTATAACTTTGTTTTTAATATTGATTTTTTTAAACTTAAAGTGAAACTTCCCAAGAACACCAACCAAATGGAATACTTTCCAAGTATTCTGAATGCTGCTAAGGGAGGGTGGCTCTTGGTATAATGAATGGTAAGGTTGCAGAGTACTTGTTTATGAAATTGTCACCTAAATGCTGCTATGTGTATTTTAAATAAAGATGCTGTCTGAGGACAAAATATTTGTGCATCTGGATTGTGATTTTGTCATTGAAGTTTGGCACTTGGTTTTGTTGCAATTGCTGAATGTGAGTGATAAGTAATTAATTCATTGTCAAGATTGTATGCTAATTCCATTTGACAAAGTTTCTGTGGGTAATCCCTCCCTCCATTTTTTTTCTAGTAGGAAGAATAGAACAGTCAGGATTACAGATGTCCAGACAATGGCTCTCTCCTATTCAGAACTCATTGAGCAGTTGCAGTGTTCATAAGATATGCAATACATGACTTCGTTTGTAAACAAAGTTAGTTTTGAGAAGCTGATGTCCTAACCTTGTAGATAAGATATCTATTTCCATTGAATGATTACTATTGACGTAACGCATCTTTGAGGATGGTCAGGGTACTAAATTAAGAATTCTACATACTGGTAGCTTGAAAATTAAGTTCATGGATAGAACTGGTTATCTTTCATAGGAAGTGGAGTGATCATAATGTGTTCTGAAGGATAATTCAAAGTTCTATTTGAGGTACAATCTCATTTGTTCCACCTCAACAATCTATCTTTTTTTTAAAAAAAGTTTGTTGTCATAGTGGGCATACAAACTACAGTGAAGCAACCATGAGTGCCTTGCTCCTATGTACTGTATATTGCTTGAAAGTACAGTAGAACCTCACCTTGGTGCCTCAATGATATGGACTCACTATTTAAAGCTTCCTTGTTCCCCATTTAACAACTGAAACTCCACAAATTGAAGGTAATACAACCACTCTTACTGTCCAATCCATTTTCACTTAAGTTGCTTTGTACCCGTTTTGTAGAAACGCTGACTTGGTCAATCTTTGATCAAGTTATCTTCATTCAAAATGCGCTAAGCATATTCAAGCCTTGAGTGTCTCATGAAGAGTGAAACCTAGCTTTGCTTGCATTTGTGATAAAACATCTGATTTAAATTTTATATACCCATTTGATTCCTGTACTTCTAGTGCTCTTATTTGTAGAGTACTTGGAATTATAAAATTTGCCCTCACCTTTGATTGTAAGCAAAATCTTTCTAGCAAGTTTCAAACTGCTGTAAATAAAGCATCTTATTGCTCAATGTATTAAAGGGCTTTCGCATTCACTCCTTGCAATAAATACTTGCATCTTGGTAACATTCCATTCAACTTTGTACTGAAAACAGATTGCACCGTAGCAGCTGTTAAAATTTAATTCTTACTCTGAATTTATGCATGCCTTTTGGACTCCATCTGTGTAGGAGAGATCAAGTAACTGGATTTGTGCAGTTGCTAAGCTGGAACATGTTGTGATGTAATTAGGCATTATTCCCCAGAGGATTTGAGTGTTGTGAACTTTCTTGCCTAGTTAATAGATGTCTTGACTACACACTATATGGAAGAAGGAAATAGATTTTTGTAACTTCAAATTGTATTATGAATTGTTTTAGGGAAGAACCAATAAAATGCAGGACACCTTTGAATTTGATTTTTGAAAACAAAATGGAATATTGATCAAATTAAGTCAATGAGATGTCAATAGAAGTGCAAAATTTCTATTAGATTTAGCCAACATCTGGATGTTAGTCTTGATTACCTTGAATTGTTCATTTTAGATTGTGTGGAGCGGAAGAAAGAGGAGATAAATGGGATGCTTAAAGATTCAGCAGAATTGTGTACCATTTTGAGGATGCTTGGCTTACTCCAAGAATGTTTAATAGTGTAAAGATGATAATCCTTGCATTTGATACAGCACCTGATCACATCTTTGAGAGGTCTTAATAGTGCTTCACAGAATATACTGTGAATTAAATTGACTATTTTGTGGGTGAAACGCAGCAGCCAATTGTGCACAGCAATAAATTGGGGATTTTACCAAGTGTGAGGAGGGAAATGCTTCCCAGCACTGTAAGCCTAGACTGAGTTCAAAGTCCTGATGTGGGCCATAAGCCTACAAATTAACTCAAGTGAGAGTATTACCAACTGAGCCAGGCTGACACCAAAATAGGGGGGGAGAATACAAATTGATATGGTTTTGTAATTTACCAAGTTGGTTAATTTGTACTTGTTAGCTAAATGTGATGAGCACATCTTATCTTCTAAACATTTGTACTTTAATTGCAGAACAGAAGAGTTGGTTTTTAAATCATTAGTTTTGGAGAAAGCTTCTCCCCATAGACACACTGTTGTAGGCTTTCAACTTAAACTGCACCAGCAGCTGTTCTTTCAATAAGGCTTTTGTTATGTTAAATACTTTTGCTGACAGTAGCAGGTGCTATTTAGGCATAACTTGGCCATCACAACTTAACCTTACCTGGCAAAAAGATGCATGAAAACAATCAAAAAGGGAATGGAGAAGTAAAAGTCTTTTTTAATAAAAGGACCTTGCAATTAATTTCTGCTTAGTACAGTAAATTGATACCGAACAAGCAATGTTGAAAACTAATAAGATCAAGTTAGCCATTCTATTTACTTGATGCAGAATAAACGCACATCTTTGTAACACAAACTGGGACAAGAGCTGAAGCCCCAACATTTTGGTAAATTTGAATAGTTGTGAAACAAGTTTTGAGAATATTATCCGCACAATGTTTGATTCAACGTGTATAAGGAACATAACGGTTCCCAACACATGGTGAATGAATCAGTCAAGTTAAACAATGGAAAATATATGGATTTTGTTAAGTATATTTTGCAGCTTTTTTGACATCCATTGTGGAAGTGAATTTTTGACAAGGGACAGTTCAGGAAAACACAAATTACTGGTGAAAGAAGTTTTGGAGAAGTCTTAAATTAAAATATGGAATGCAACGTTGGTGCATTGTAGAATGCACACCATGCAGAAAGAAAAGTCGGGACATTTTTGAAACTAGAAGATAGATTTAAGCAGATGCTGGAGGCCTTGACGCAGTGGGGTGTCATATAAAGAGCTGCTTTTGGTCTGGTTTTAAAGCCTCATGTCAGATGACACAGCACAGGAACTTACAGTGGTAGCAAAGCAAAATTTAATGTTGCACTTGGCAACATGACTGATTTATGTACAAGCATAAATCCTAATGATCACCATTGACCATCCACTCATTCACAATGAACACCTGTTCCAACAGCAGATTCTATTCCTGGTAAACCTCTACACTCCAGATGGCATCATAATTCCAAGTGGGCAGACAGTATGTATATACACAGGGCCAATGTATAGCCAAAGCACCATGTGCAATGATTAATTAGTCTTGTTCATAACCTGCAAATTTCAATCGACCCCCCACCAATTTGATAAGGCACCAAGGCAGATATGTCCCACAACATATTGAACTGACCAAAAAAATACTGGTATTGCAGTAATTCTAAGCCAAAGGAGGCACGTTTTTCACTTTTTGAATGCAAAAGATTTTTTAAAAAATATATCAGCTGATTTGAATAAAATGCTGGATATAAGTAAAGAAAGTAACAACTTCACAATCCTGTTATTGCTGTCAACTTTCTTTGATGTATAAATGGAGCACTATTTGGATACTGTGGAAAAATAAAAATCAATTGCAAATGAATAGAATTGTAAAGATTTACCTAGAAAGCCTAAACAGTGATGTTATTAATTTTGAGTCACCATAGAGGTTTCATTAAACTAAGCAGTGTCCATTTTTGGCAGTGCAATCTTTTTAAGTTAGTATCCGTATTCAGAAAATGTCCACCACATTTGGGGGGGAAAAAATGAAACCGTTCAACAAGCAATAGCCATTTGAGACTGGTTTAAATCAAATTTATGTTGTCGACAAGTTTGTATTTGAGAGCACAAACGTAGCTCCAATTTACACTTTATCAGCAATACCGAAGAAATGTGTCTGATTAAATTCAGCACCGATTTAAACGACTTGGCGAGTAATGGATTAGCTTTAGATTCCATTTTTTTTAAAAAAAACCCACAAAGCTGTAAACTACGACAACTTGGACACAAATTTATAATCTGCACGTCTATTAGCACTTTTCGACTGAGGAAACCGAGCTGGAGGTGGCAGCCTTGCGGGGGAGGAGGAGAAAAGAGGACCAAATCATTCTGACTTCTGTAATTCCTGTCTACTTTAATCTAATTTATTCCCTCCTCCCCTCCACCCCCCCTCCAACCAAGAGGAAAGTTGGGAAAAAAATGGTCTGGGAGTTGCCTGGTTCACGAAACGCCTTCTCGTCCTTCCCCTGAACTCTTGTGTGACAACGCTTCGAACATCGCTCCTCAATGGCTGGAAAGTCGCGCAACCAATAGGTTTCGCGTCAACGCTTGATTTTTTTTTAAAAGGGAACCAAAAAAAAAGGGGGGAGAACCCGACCGGTGACTGTTTCGATCGTTATCTGCGAATCCGGAACCAAAACGTACGACAAAAAAAAAAAAATCCCGATGCAAGACTTTTCAGTGTCGGGCGGCTCTTGGGGACACCAAATCGTTGGGCCCCAAAACGTTTCGAAGGGCGACGGGTGCCAACTCCGGGACTCGAGGGGGGGGGGGGGTCCCCACTTTTACCTTTTGCGGTGCTCCGTCCCCGAGTTCGGTGCCACTTTGCTGCGAGCGGAGAAGCGCTTCGGCCGCCGCGGGGTTTGCTCCTGCGAGTCCGCCATCTCCTCGCGAGCGGCGGGTGTCTGTGTCTCTGACTGACTCGTCTCCCCCGGCGGAGAGGAGGAGGAGGAGGAGAGAGAGAGGGAGGAACGAACGAACGAACAAAACCACCTCGACCACGGCGAGTCCTCGAGAAATGTCTGTGGTGGGTGTGTTATCAGGGCTGCAGCCCCCGGGAGCGCCTCACCTCGTCGCTCCAGGCGGTCGAGGCGGAACGCGTTTCCGCACTCGCGTTGTTCCCGCTGCGGCCCCGAACCGAAGCTTCGCGCCTCGGCACCGCCAACAGCTCCGCGCCATCTTTGCTCTCTCTCTCTCTCTCTCTCTGTGTGTGCGCGCGCGTCTGTGTCTGTGCGCGTCGCTGTCGCCGAGCATTCTGGGACGGCAACACCGGCACCACAACAAGCGGCAGCTCCGGCCTCAGCCACAGCACATGGGGCGGACAGCCTCCACCCCCCCACCCCCACCGAGAGTCAGCCTCCCCCCCACCCCGAGAGTCACCCTCCCCCCCCACCCCGAGAGTCACCCTCCCCCCCAAGAGTCACCCCCCCCACCCCGAGAGTCACCCCCCCCCACCCCGAGAGTCAGCCTCCCCCCCCCCACCCCCCCCTCTAGCCGAGTGTCACCGTCAGCACAACATCCGCCTCCCTCCTCTCACGCTCAACCTAAAGCATCTTTTTTTTAAAAACAATATGTCCAGTTGTCCTGACCTCTTCCCCCCCCCCCCCAGTCATCAATTCTTTGCTCTTCTGGTCCAGAAAAATGTCATGGGTATCTCTGTCTCATCCTGGAATTTGCTCTTTGCAACTCTAAACCGATTAAACAGGAGGTGATGGTGGGAGGAGGAGGAGGAGGGGTTGATCCTGTTATTTCCAATTGTGATCTCTCATTTATTGACCCCCCACCACCCAACTCTGCTCTCGTGCAGCACTCTTTCTGAAGACACGATCCCTACACGAAGGGTAATATATATATATATATATATGTATGCATATAAAAATAAATGCGAGAGTTGTTGTATTTTTAAATATTTTCATGTTTAACCTCTATATATATAAAGAAAACTTGAGGCTGTGATGGGAGAAGGCTGGGAAATGGGAAGATTCTGGCAGGAGGCGATCGGAAAGGGCTGTCAAAAAAAAACAGGGGCTCTCGAAGTGCAACGCTAACGGGTGTTGTGCTGACGGTGATTCTCCGGGTGGGGGGGGGGGGGGGAGGCTGACCCTCGGGGTGGGGGAGTGAGGCTGACTCTCGGGGTGGGGGGGGGGGAGGCTGACTCTCGGGGTGGGGGGGGGTGACTCTCGGGGTGGGGGGGGTGAGGCTGACTCTCGGTGGGGGTGGGGGTGTGGAGGCTGTCCGCCCCATGTGCTGTGGCTGAGGCCGGAGCTGCCGCTTGTTGTGGTGCCGGTGTTGCCGTCCCAGAATGCTCGGCGACAGCGACGCGCACAGACACAGACGCGCGCGCACACACAGAGAGAGAGAGCAAAGATGGCGCGGAGCTGTTGGCGGTGCCGAGGAGCGAGCGGAGCTGAGCTTCGATTCTAAACCGTTCGGGGCCGAAGCAGGAATAATGCGAGTGTGAAATGTGTTCCGCCCCGACCGCCTGGATGACAACGTCAACTGCTCCCTCTGTGCGTACGAGGAGTGAGGAGCTCCGGGGCTGCAGTGAGAAACACCTCCATAAACATTTCTTTAGGACTCGCAGTTGTTGAGGTGTTTTTTTTTCGTCGTCGTCCCCCCTCACCACCCCCACCCCCTCTCCTCCTCCTCCTCCTCCCCAGGGGGAAAGTTGTGGAAAAACAAGTCAGTCGGTCGAGACAGACAGACAGACAGACAGACAAACACACACGCACTGCACCCGCCGCTCGCGAGGAGATGGCGGACTCGCAGAAGCGGCCCCGCGCCGGCCAAGCGCTTCTTCGCTCGCACCAAGTGGCCCGACTCGGGGAGGAGCACCGCAAGGTAAAGGCGAGTCCGAGTCACCACGGGGTCGAGGCCGAGCGTTTGAAGGCAGGGCTGAGCCGTTGGGACGCGCGACCTCAGTTCAAACGCTTTCCCGCGAGGAAGCCCCCGCGAACCAGTTCTAATTAATGTCTCCCTTTCCTGTCGGGAACACCCCCACACCCCCCCCCACACCACACACACACCACCACCGCCACCATCCTTTACCCTCTTCACCTCCCCCCCCCTCTCCTCCCACGTTTGAGCACGTACTCCTTCCTCGCACACGAGCCCCCCCTTCCTGCCCCTTAAAATCCCTCAAAACTTTCCGCCCTCCCGCAGGAGCAAACTTCCAATGTGCAAAGAGTGGAGGTGGTTCCGACATTGGAGCTGCGGAGAAGTTGTTGTTTCCCCCCCACCCCCCAAAAAACACACACACACACACACACACACGGATTGCGATCACTCCCGTTTGCTCTTTGAACTTCCCACACCGCGGGGGCCCGTTCTTATTTAAAATCCTTCCTAGTATTTCCGTCATTAATCATTAGATAGTCATCCCCCCCCCCCACCCCACTCTCCAGCGAGTAACAGAGGACCGTCTCCCCCCCCCCCCCCACACACACACAAAATCGTTATAACATCTAAATATCTAACGTTATCAAAAAATCTGCATTAACAGTTAAATGGAATGAGTTCAACAATAGTGCAACAGAGGCCGTGTCTATTTTTGATCTTAAAAGCGGGTTAAAACAACACTTTTTAGAAATGACATGTAAGGTAAATTGTGTGGAATAGCGTGTAAACGTTTTTTTTATTAAACAAAAATACATTTTTTGACTTATCTTCAGTTATCTTTGCTTAGGTGGCTATGAAGTGTGTTAGCAATGCAATTTAAAACTTGAGGTTAAGTTCCTCTAATCTGTTATTAACATTACAGTTTCTCCTTCAATTCAATTATTGGATGTTGTTGTCAGTGGAGCACTATCGCAGTCATAATTGCACAGTTAGGAAACACATTTTTCATGAGATCCCAAATCCATTATGAGAAAGTGTGTTTTTTTAGTAATAGTTAAAACTGAAGTGAACTGGCATTCACTGGAAGTAAACTGAAGTGATTTATACTGTAATTAGATCCCTCGGAAATTGATGCTATGGTCAGAAATTATATAATTTGTAGCTTTATTTACTGATACTGATATCGAAAAACCTGGATCAGCAACAAACACACACACTCTCCCAGTTGGTTGGAAAATTGTCAATTCATAATCTGATATACTTTCCTTTCAGCGACCTGCAGTACGGATTAGTACCAACTTCAAATGTCGACTGGATAAAAAACACTGGTTTTATCTGACCACCTTGTTTCTTGTAGTTGAGAGTTGCTATGAATGGAAAACAATATTAAACCAAGGGATTGGGAGATATTGAATTCTATGTCGGTTTTCTATAAGTGGGGTTTACAGTAGCAAACACAACATTGTTAAAGAATATCAAACATTGTGCATTGGCGCTCCCCAGAGGCTAATGGTGGAACTTTAATCATAGAAATACTAAATTGAAATCTTCAGATTAAAATCGTATTTGATTCTGAAGCAAAAAAGCTCAACAAAATTCTGGTTTCAGCCTAATGTTCCAATTTACTTTATTTGTTTGTTTAGATTTTAGTGACAAAGAGCTCTCCCCCTTTCCCCAAATAATCTAGAGAAATTGCAATAGTCCTGTTCAGATCCAGTGTTAATATGCAATCAGACTGAGCAAATGATACTGTTGGACTAATCTGAAGATGTTTGGATTGCCACTTCATCATAGCAAGAAAGGGAGAACAGACGAGCAGTTTCTGGTTGTTCTTATGCTTCTTTCAGTGCCTGTTGAGATGGAGGTATTGGCAGAAATATGGGACGGATGACTTGTCTGCCAACTTGACTGGAAAAGGGAAGAAATCATAAAATCCATTCAGAAACAAATCTAGGTTTGATAAAAGATTTCCATTCATGCAACTATTTCAGAACAATGCGAAATTGACTAAAAATCACACATGCAAGCACAGTAATTTGAAGATGAAAAGGTTATTCTGTTCCATACAAACTTGTTTATGGACAAAGTTACATAATTTCCAAATTTGTGTTATTCATGGGAATGGACAGCACCAAAGAAGATCACTATGGCCCCTCTGGCTAGTTTCAAAACAAAACATTTTTAATTATTTGAAAAATTATCGGTTGGATACTTATGGAAAATTTGAAAATGGTCATGTTATAGTTTAGGCCTTTACACATACAATATATTTAAACCAATGACTATGTTTTCTTTTGGGAATATTTAGTTAAAAAAAACTATCTATTAATAGTGTTTTATTTAGATAAGTCAACAACAAAATGACATTTATAGAGCGCCTTTCACGTCGGGAGGATGTCCCAAGGCGCTGGACAGTCAGGGGTCAGGCCCCGAGCATGGGGGAGGGATGAGGTAGGGGTGAAGAAAGGCAGAGAGGTGGGAAGGCAACTGAAGGCACGATCGAAGAGGAGGGTCTTGAGACCGGCCTTGAAGGAGGCAAGGGAGGAAGCGAGGCGAAGGGACTGGGATGGAGTTCCAGAGTGGGGGCAGGGAGACTGAAAGCCCGTCCATCGATGGTAGGGCAGGTCGGGTGGGAGGCATGGAGCAGGCCGGAGCCCGCTGAATGGAGGGAGCAGGCAGGTTGGTAGAGAGTCAGCAGGTCAGAGTGAGGATGAGGATCTTGAATTCGAGCCTCTGAAGGATGGGGAGCCAGTGGAGTCGGGCGAGGGTGGGAGTGATGTGGTCACAGAGCCTGATGCGCGAGAGTACATGATCTGCAAAGTTTTGGATGATCTGCAGCTTGTGAAGGGAAGAGTTGGGAAGACCGATGAGGAGGGAGTTTCCATAATTGAGCCTTGATGTGACGAATGCGTGGATAAGGGTTTCGGCAGTCTGAGGGGTGAGGCAATGATGAGTCTGGCAATGTTGCGGAGGTGGTGGGTGGTAGGCAGTACCGATCATGGCGCGGATGTGGGGGAGAGGACAGTTCAGGGTCAAACAAGACACCCAGGTTCCTGACTGGCTTAGTGAGGTTGAGTGTGCAGCCGTGGAGGCTGATGCCGCCGGCGTCTGTGCGGAGGCGCTGGTGTGAGCCAAGCAGGAGGGCCTCGGTCTTGCAGGCTTGACGTTCAGCTGGAGAAAGTTGTCCCTTGTCCAGGACTTGATGCTGGACAGGCAATCTGTCAGGACGCCAGTAGTCCTGGAGTTGAGAATGGAGGCAGAGAGATAAAGTTGGGTATCATCCGCATACATGTGGAAATTTACCCTGTGTCTGTGGATGATGTCACCAAGGGGGAGCATGTAGAGGGTGAAGAGGAGGGGACTGAGGACAGCCCTGAGGAACGCCGCACGAGACACAGTTCGGGGCAGGAGGAGAGCCGTTTGCTGAGACGAAGTGGAGGCGGTGTGAAATGTAGGACCTGAACCAGACAAGGACAGAGTATTGGAGGTTAAGGTGGGAGTAGAGGAGGTGGAGGAGGATTGAATAGTCCACAGTGTCAAAAGTGACGGAGTGGACAAGGAGGCAGAGGGAGCCCTGGTCACACGTGGTCAGGATGTCATTTGTGACCTTGACCAGAGACCTTGACCAAGTCAAATGACAATCAGGAATATTATGTACTTATCCTACCAAATTGCAAGCATATATCTTTGGTTTCCTCAACAAAGATTTACAACAATAGTGTGTAGGAATGATTTCAACGATCTTGCTTAAGGTATTTATGTTGGTAAATATTCATTGCTTTGAAAAGAATTGCAGTTGGTTTCAGTAATTTCCAGCTAAGGCTGAACAATATAGTATTAAATCTTTTCTGATTCATACATAAACCTATCTGTTTTTGTCTATTTCAAGATTCCTCTATATTCAAATATTCCGAGCAACGCTATTATGTAACGCAATAAATTATGTAATTATTTTGTTTTCAACTACTTTTATTGGTTTGTCCTCTGAATCTGCAATCTTCTGTAAGACCACATTTATTAATAAATAGGTCATAGTGAGAATTTATTTTTCATCCAAAAATGACCTTTCATTTGTGTTTGAAGTCCGATATATGTTTAGCCCTATATGATGATTCAAGAGAGAAAGTGCAATTTCCTTAATATATGGGCATTTCCGTGCATTTCCATGCATATATAGAACTCTCTGGTTTACATATTTTTAAAGTATGATAATTGGCTTCTGCATGCATCAGACACCTGGTTGATCCCCAAAACTTGAAGATTTCCGAATATATTTTGGATTACAAAATGTTTGTATTTTAATATTTTCCATGACCGATTTATAAAATGCAATATAAAGAAAAACATGTTATTTTGGTAAAGGAAATGATAGATTCTGTGAATACAGATGTTTATATCTATAGATTGAACGAGGATTTAGTAGGTTCCCATTCTCCCCTTTTATAAATCAAGTGAAGGATGCAAACAGAGGTTAAAAGGGGATTTTAATGTGGACTTTTTCTTTGCCTTCCAAGTATGATACAGTGTTTTATGTCACCAAGCAAAATTTGTTCCATATAAAAGTAACTTTGTTTCCAAATGCCTTTGTTATTCTGATAAATTTACTTCACAATTGTTTTGTATGTTGCACTCATGTTTACAGTACTTGGAATTCTCGACATTGCTTTTCATGAGCAGTTGTCTATTTTAATAACAGGTAGTCTCAAGCTGCAACGAAAAAATTCAGCACTGGTAAGTCCAAATGTTCCAGTAAATCTGCCTATCCTAAATATTAGAATTAATAATGTTTTTAAGGTTCAGCAGCAACATTTTGGTAACATTTATCTGTTGTGTAAATTGTATGATATCACTTATCCAATAAAAAGAAGTGAATAACTAATCTAAGTCAACAGTGATTTTGAAAAACAAATCTTGCGTAAATTGGTCACTGTACCAAATTGTTACTCTATCAAATTCTATTTCCTGTCAGTTTATTGAAGAAAAAATGATTAGTTCTATTTGATAATTAGTAATGCAGGCTTTATGGTAAACAAATGATTTGCCTTCAACTGAAAAATAATTATCAAGCTAGATCTAGTGTGACCCGTTGTTGAGTACATTTATTTTCCATCTTACCAATGTGCTCTAGCAACAGGCTGAAACGAGAGGCATTAGTTGTCTGTGTCCCGCTTTGCACAGTAACCATCTTTTGGGGCTCAGAAATAGCACAAAATAGCATGAATTTGTTGGTCTAAACTCATTTTACCGAGGACTTCAAGCAAGTGGGGCTGAAGGGAGTAATTGCTGATGACTGATTTCTTGTTTTGAGAATAGTAAAGCCAGCAAAACCATTTGTGTTCAGAAAAAAAGGTGTTTAATCTTGTGTCTCTTTTCATTACTTTTTTAAAAAACACAAAAATGAACATAAGTGTTTATATCAATGTTCCACAAGTTGCAGTTTCAAATTTGATTTGGGGCAGTGGTTTAGTGGGAAAAGGGGAAAATCAGCCGGTGTCCATGTCCCAGTTCCTAGTTATGGATGGATATCAGGTGAGGATAAGATATATCTCAATTATAGAGTCCTCAGTCCTGAATAATCAAGCCTGCTTCATGCTATTTCACAAATAAAGAATGGCCATATTGCAAACATCATCCCCAAAGCATCTTTGTTTGGTGAATTGATGAAAGCATAATTTGTGGAATAACCCCCCCCCTTAATAAAATGAAATTATTGCTCAAATCATAATTATATTGTAGGCCCTTATTGCTGCAAAGCAAGTACAGGAGCCTGGATTACAATCAAACCTTTCCCTTCCGTTATAAGTTTTTTTTCGACTGAAATTTCATAATCATTGTTTATTTCCCTATATACATCCATCATTTAATATGTGGCAGGAAAAATATCATCTCTTCCACTTAACAGATAACCGCCTGCAACCTATGATGTTTTTTTTGGTATCGCTTCCTTTGTTCCCAGATTGCAGTCAGTTGTGTGAGGCCAGTATCATCACTGTCAACCATAAATTAAAAACTAATTTTTATGAATTGATTTTTGACAGTGATAGTAAGTTGAAATTGTAATTTGATTAATTTCTAAAATGCAATCTGTTTGATTGCTAGAGTGCTCTTGTAAATTCTTTAATGGAATTTTATTGTTTTTTGCTTTTCTGAGTGGCAGAGCATTCGGTAGATGTTTATCCCATCATAACAGTGTTGACTAAGTTAGAATAGTTGCCTAGACTCTCAAGGTTCTGTGAAGGTAGTATGAGTATATATTTAAGTATATAGTTACATTCTATAAAGCAGATGAACCAACACATTAGTTCGTTGGGTCTTATCATTGAATGGCAAGTGTTGAGTGTTTCTTGAAAGCAAATAATACAGAGATTACATTGTTAAAATTATTTATTTGTATGCATTTTGTGAAATGTTTGAACAATTAAAAATAAAATCGCCAACATTTAACTAACTGTTCACCGCTTAGGAATAAGGTGCAGAGTGACTATGAAGCACTTCAAGAAAGACTAAAGACTTTGCCTGACAAACTGTCCTATGATGTTATGGTGAGTATGAATTTTGTCATTTTTTTTATTTCTTCCCCTCCTCCCATTGGTAGATTTGAGAAATTATACAATACGAGTTTCCTGCAGCTTATGACGTTGTGTTGAAGAGGCTTGAGTGTTTCTATGTGCAAATATTTTACCTACCTTTCCTAAAGGATGACATGCTGGCAGTTTGGTTCCACAGGTTCCCTCTGGTGCTTTGCCTAAATGGCCTTTCTTTATGTGAGTAAGTTACACTCCAGGGAATTATCAATTACGTGCCCTTGTAATTGCATGCATAATAGGTGTAGGTGCATAATATTGCAGAATATGGCCAAACTACCTTATATTTCCTTCATCACAGTTGCTCACAAGCAATCTGAAAAGCTTAGAATCGTCTACATGATACTCCAAATTGAATGAGAAATCAGCAATACTTTTATCCCTGATTGAAGCCATAATTCGGTTGACTCATGCCTCATTGGTTACTGAGATGAACTTCTTTTGTTCAGAGACAATAATGGCTTCATCTTTAGATCAAGAAGAAATGCCTTTTTTTCTGAAAACTCTGAAGAATATTAGGGTTACCTCTCCAGGAATGTGTGCTAGCTAATCTATTAGTTTTGCGGATATGGTCAGACTTTCCTTAACAGCTTTTAGGTTTCTGGGAACTGAGTATATAGATTACACAGTGTCTTACAAACTCCCACCATGAATTTTATCTTGGAGGATGTCTGATTCATAGCTTTTGGCGAACATATTGATGGAGCTATGACAAAGTCAAAATACAGACAGTGGCTCATTCGTTTTAATATATTGGCACTGTTGAGTAGGCTCCAACTAGCTCTAATATTTCCAATAAAAGCACATTTCTCTCCCACCTTATTTTGCAGGATCAGGAAAGTATTAGTGTCATTCATCCTTTTAAGTGAATGTCATTTTTTATTAGTTATTTTTAAGCATTTAATTTTGAACTGTTTCACACAGTGTAGAATTCTGTGCAAATGTTTTTAATTGCATTTATTTGGTTATTAACAATTTAAATATAATGTCACTTTCTAGCTGCCAACTTCTGTCTTAATTTTTATTGACATGACACTTTTGGATATTAAACTAAAACACTTGATGGTATTTTGGTTTCATTAGTTTAACTGAGGTTGGTTTCAGATGTTCAGAGGGGTTAAAAAGTTACCATTGAAACTGAAACTCATTTAATTAGATCACAATCAACTCCTATCTCTAAGAAAACTGCCAGGACTGAAAATATGCTATGACATTGTTTATTTATATATTCATTTGTTTAACAAAAACATTGGTAACCCCACAAATGAAATTTGGAACGGACAAAAAAAAGTTCAAAGAAACAATGACCTTTGTAATGGAGATAAAATAGAGAAAAACAGGAATGGTTGTTTCAGTGTGGATGGAGTCCAGGCTTGAGGGAAGAATCACCCATAAGATGACAAGCATTTGTATTCTGAATATGAGGATGAAAGTGGTTAGGTGTCAGCTGGTTTAGTTGGTAGCATTTTGAGTTGGAAAGTAGTGGGTTTAAGCCTTTCATTGCACTATAAGATGTCCTCCTGACGTGAAAGGCGCTCTTTAAATATATATTGTTTTGGGAGTTATTAAACTGAGGTTCCATTCATGTTTTCAAATAGACATTAAATATTCCACGGCTTTGTTTGAAAAGACAGGGGAGGTTTTCCTGTTGTCCTGGCCAACAATCATCTGGGTAAATTAGTTATTCACCTCACCGGTTATAGTGTTTGCCTACAAAAATATACTCAACAGTAAATTCTTATGAAGCAATTTGAGACATTTCAACCTAGGTACTAAAAAGGTTTGTTTTTTCTACCTGGCCAGATATGGGAGGGGTAGATATATTAACCAAAATGGGACTCTTTTAAGCAGATTATTACTGTAATTAAGTATTCATATTGCAGCCTAGTAAAAAAAATGTGCATTTTTTCAAAATGTAATTAAATGTATACAGAGCATAGAATTCCTGATGTAAATGTTTTAATTTGTTTTTATGATAGGTGCCATTTGGTCCACTTGCATTTATGCCTGGACAGCTAGTGCATACAAATGAAGTCACTGTGTTACTGGGTGACAACTGGTTTGCAAAGTGTTCTGCAAAGCAAGCTTCCGATCTGGTAGAGCACAGGAAAAAGCGTAAGTTAGTCCTGTATACCTACGTCCCTTTTCAGCTTGAATTTAATGTGTATTAAAAATAATTATTTTTCTAAATGTATTTTTAAATTGTCTTTTTTATATAAGCTGTGCAATTATCTATTTTTACCTTGTTTCACATTGTCTGCACATCACTGTAGATCAAAAATTGGAGCAAAAAAAATCATGGGTGTGATCTCGTTTCAGACTTCGTCAAGGGATTCTTTCCATTTCTCACCTGACATTCACCAGTTTATTTTTATATGCCATCTGTGATGAAGGTTTTGTTATTGTACCAAGTGCTATCATAAAATCAGTTACTTGATTACCTCAATGAATTGATTGAATTAATGTGGGCAAAAACTTGCTGTCCCTCAGTTTATAGACAATGATTGCTTAAATGTTTTGACCAGTGTTTGTTTTGTAAAATATGGCAACAATAGTAATTGTATTTGATTAAATATAACTTTCATATTCATTATCTGGAGAAGTGAAGTGCTTGTAGTTTCACACTTTGCACAGAGAATGGTTTTGTTCAGTCTGTTGACAAATAATTGATTTCATTGATGAGTTGTTTTGGAACAATGCTTGAGACATGTTTCGCTCATGGAAAACTGAGCTGAGCACATTAAAAGAAAACTGTTTTTCGAGGAAACTGCTGTGAATCTGTGCATAGGGAATAAATCCACATTGAGCTGCTTTAAAAGTAAATAATGCAACTGAGTGGAAGCTTAACATTTGTATTGACATTATTTAATTCTGACACCAGTGCCTGTCCTAAATTGAAAATTTGCTTCATGGTTGTTTAGGACCTTGCTTGTGTAAGGTGCTGATGAGTCATCCATAACTCCGCAGCTCGTGTACTCTCACGCGCCAGGCTCCGTGACCCCATCACTCCCACCCTCGTCCGACTCCACTGGCTCCCCATCCCCCAGAGGATCGAGTTCAAGATCCTCGTCCTCACCTTTAAGGCCATCTGTGGCCTTACCCCCTCCTACCTCTCTGACCTGCTTACTCCCTACCAACCTACCTGCTCCCTTCATTCAGCGGGCTTCGGCCTGCTCCACATCTCCCACCCGACCTGCCCTACCATCGGTGGCCGGGCTTTCAGCCAATCTGCCCCCACACTCTGGAACTCCATCCCATGGTCCCTTTGCCTCGCTTCCTCCCTTGCCTCCTTCAAGGCCAGCCTCAAAACCCTTCTCTTCGACCGTGCCTTTGGTCGCCTTCCCACCTCTTTGCCTTCCCTCACCCCTATACCACCCCTCCCCCATGCTCGGGCCCCGACACCTGACTGTCCAGTGCTTTGGAGTGTCCTCCCGACGTGAAAAGCGCTCTATAAATGTCATTTTGTTGTTGTTGTTGTTGAGATTGCTTGCGAAAGCAGTCACTACACTAACCTATCCTATGAAGTATCCCGACGACTTGACTGAAATCATCTAATTAATTGCAGATCAGAATTGCATCTGCAACATTACTGGTCTGCATGAACCAAATTCTCACTGGATGAATTATTGAGCTATTGGAAGAGCTTACTTTACATAGAATTACATAGAACATTACAGCACAGAAACGGGCTAGTCGGCCCAACTAGTGCACGCTCTATTTATACTTGTATCTTTTAAATGGGATTTGTTTAGTCCATTGTCTTTGTGTAATGTTTGTTCACTTTCAGATTCACTTTAATATAGTGTATCATGTCAGTGATTTGGCTGGCTGCTTAACATTTATTAAAGTTATTGAAAAATGCTGCACCTTAACCTCTCACCTAAATTGTGCTTTAGATCCAGACATAATTATTCATATTATCTTTCTGAGTTAAGCAAAAACATTCCATAACCTTAACCTTTTTGCCGACCTCCAGCATTTAACAACCACAGACATGGTTTTATATTATTATTTGACCATGCTTGGTTGAAATCTGTCAAACAGTTCTTGAGTTATTAGGCTGTCTAAGTCTGACCTTTCCAGAATCAAAGATATATGGCTTCAGGGCTTAGCCTTGCTATGGCAACCATACCAATTTGCTGCTGTGTAAAATGCCTAATTGTTGCAGAAATTTGATCTAGATCAAACTTCAAGGCTTTATAATTTTATGAATTGTTTACACCATCATTTCCCTTTGTTTATGCAGTCATTTTAATGCATGCATTTTCAATTTCCTGCTTGTTAATGAAATCTTATTTTCCTTTAGTGCACTAGGAGTTTCTTCTCTGGGGGTGAAAAGTGGGAATTAGATTCTCCCCTGTTTAAATAACATAACCTTTATTATCCTGTTACATACTTTGATTACCATTCCTATATTAGGTTTTCTTGCTAATTATACTATGGGTATTACAGATATTACAATGAGCAATGATGTATAGCAGGTAGACCATAATTTTGATGAATGAATTTAAGAAATGCAATATCATCCACCAAAATGTATTTTTGCTTCTAAATCATCCTTCATTCTCTATTCAAAAATCATCCCTCATTCTCTATTCTCCATACATTAGGTGTAATAATCCCAAGATGCTGGCAAGGTTTTCAGGAAGCTTAAAAGGCACATTGCTTCATCTCATTATATGTCTACCTTCTCATTCTCTGCATAATGTATGGATATTTGTTATCAGTATCATTTTCTCATTGTCGAGATGTATTGCATTTACATAGCTCCCATGAACAACCAATTTTCATAGTACCTGTATTTGATCTTGGGTCATTTTGAATGTTGTGAGTTCTTGTATGAGAATTAGTAAGTTCCGTTTCAGTTGTGCTGTTTTGCAGGAGTAGTGTTTCAAATAGTCCAGTTTTATATTCCTCTTCTGAAAGCAAGGGTATAGTTTCACAAGTAATTCTTCAGATGTAAGACTGGGTAGGCACTTCTGGCAAGGTGTTTAAGCCTTCTCATGGATGACTTAGACCACCTCAGACCCCCTGTAACATTGAAGTGCCAAATAAGAACATCAACTATTTGAAAACATGTGGGTATAAAGTTGTTCATTGAATAATATCCTTCTTTTATCCTCCCTCCCATCATCTGAAATTATAGTTTGTGATGCTCTGCCTTTTAAGAGGCAGTGATCTCATATTAGATTAATAAAGTGTGTGTAATAAAAAATCCCTGTGAGAATGTAGAATTAGTAGGATGTGGGTCTACAACTTAGGTGTCATTCGTTTTGCTTGGGTAACATTTCTCATAAATCACTGTTGCTTGTCTCTTCAGGATTACCTTATTTTAAATTTGCTATACATTTAAACTATTAATTTTCTCTTAGTTAATGTAATATGTATATTTTGATGGATTTCTTTATATTGCTAAATCAATGTTGTTCCTTTTAGATGTGCAAAAAGCACTAGATGATTTGCAGAAAGTAGTGAAGAACTTTGAATCTAGGGTCAAGTTCACTGAAGATCTCCAGAATGTGGCTGATGTATGTGGTAATTTTCATGTGCAGTTATTACAATTTTATTAGGCTCAGCTAACATAGATTTACTGTTAAAGCTGAAAGACCTTTTGTGATTCTTGCTCCCTTACGTTCTGTTTGGTGTGGTGGAAAATATTCACAAATGGGACAGATTGATTTGAAACTAGTACTTGGCACTTTTAGGAATGCTGTAGTTTATTGTCCTTTTATTTTTCAAGGATCTTATGTTGAAGCTTTAATATAATCAAAATAAGTGCAAACATTGCACTACAAATGAATTTACTTGAAGGTTAATGGGACATTTTTTTAATGTAGTTTTATTATTTGTCCATAATTATCTTCCATATCTTATGATCTGGTGTTTAGAAAGTTTTAAAACTATGCTTGTTTTCTACATATATTCCTGTCTAGTCTTCATTTTTTTTCTTTTTTCTTCCATTTAATCAGAGAGCCTGCAACCTTTTCTTGTAATTGCTGAGTACAATATGTCATGAGCTCCCCTGTAAAGGTGACTCCAGCATTATGGAGGTGGATGATGATGATAATAATAATCTTTATATTTGATATAGTCGTCAAGACTATATATTTGATTATGTCGTCAAGACGTCTCAAGGCACTTCACAGGATATACTGTAAGGTAGCTTGACTGTATATTTTGTGGGTGACATTTTGTGGATGGTTATCAAACTGCTGCCAAAGAAACTGACTTATTTAAAACTTATTAAATACTATTTATTTTCAAATATAGGAAAGGAAAGATATTGTAGAAATACATGAGGAAATTCAGAATGAAGATCTCAAACATGAAGACCCAAGTTCAGCAGGTATTGAAAATCTGTTTTCTGTTCTGTTTATTTTAAACTGCATAAACCCATATCTATTGAAAGAGATATGTAGTTCTCATATTAATTTTTAAATTTAATTTTAAAATAAAAACAATTATTATCAATTTGAACTCTGAACCACAACTAAGGTGACAAGTCCCCCAAGAGGGAGGGAAGGTAATGCATATCCTGATTTTATATTTTATGTTCAGGTTGAGTTTTGCTTATTAATTGCTTTAATCTCGTGCTTGCAATCACATGGCTGAAGATAATTAGGATCGATGACTATTTTGTATTGAATAGTGTAGCCATCTCAACATTAAAGTGCATTTTAGTGTTTTGGGGCCTTTATTAAAGCATTTATTTTTGTATTAGACCCTAAATTCACATTGAAAGTATTGGAAGTTCTTCAGACTTCGGATTTTGAAGGAAATAAAGACCATTCAGTCAATAATTTAACAATGTTTCCAGTTCGAAATATATATCTTTTCAGTGTTGCATAAAATGATTCTTTTTATTATTATTTCGGCTATAAATAACTGCAATTATAAATAATAATTATACTCTCCCCAAAACCAAATACTTTAAACTAGCAATCTGTAACCTATTTTGAACAATTGGTCAGACAAAATTACTTCTTCCTTCTTGTGTGTTTATTTCCCCCCCACATAATTCAGTTTTTAAAAGATCATTTGAACTCTGATTTCAAAGAGTTAAGAGTTAACATTTTAGGTTTGAAAATTGCTGAAGCATTTATCATGTCTAAAATGAACTGTTTGCTCATTGTTACAGTGAGAAAACATTATTTTCCAAATTGGAAACGAAAAAGATTAAGTATTTGACATGTTGAAAAATTGAATTATAATCGACCCGTTGTGTTTTTAAAATTTGACATTCCAGGAAAATGCAGAAAGGCTCATAAGCCAACAGCAAACCTTATGCCCAAAGATATTTTTGTAGCAGAACTGGAAGACAGTAGAGATGATTGCAAGTCAAAAACAACTGTGCTTACTGAAGGGGAATTGTGGGCCAGGCTGGATGAACTGGAAAGACAGGAGAAGATTCAGGATGAAATTGATAGGTAAATGTCAATGGTTGAAATACTATCACACAAACAGTAAGGTCTTTTGAATTAACTAACTTTTTTTCTACAATTGATCTAAACTTCAATGATAGACATACCATTCAAGGCTATCTCTACGATGACTGCTGTATGCTTCCCTATCTATGAATTAATCTCATTGAGCACTGTCAGGCCACATGTTAGTGCGCTAAATTTCTGCCTATTGAGTGAAATAAAGATGAGGTAATTTCAGTGTTTTTTAAAAAATTGTCATCATTTCATTTTATTAAATGTTACAACTGTATATGCCAGCTTCTGAACTTAATCCTCCTCCCACCGCTCCTCAAATTCCTTGTCATTGTAGGTCAATCTCCCAGGGCTTTTGGTATATATTTAAGTTCTCCTGGGACACTGATGAAAATGCCTTGTACAAAGGAGGTATTGTGGAAGTGTTTAAGTTGTGAAAGCTTTTTGTACTTATGAAGGTAAGGAATATCTGTCCGAGAGAATGAACACTTTTCTACCTTCTGCAGCCAGGGACAGTGTAACTCTTTCACAATAATTACAGAAACTTCTATTATTTCACACTAGGTTGGATTTGAATTGAGACCCCAAGGAAGAATTCACTGCACATCCAGTTTTCCCCATTGAGTTTCTTTTTTAGTCTGCTTGAGCTTGTTTTATCATAGTTGTGAAGGACTTGAAATGGTCCCTATTGGTTCTATAAGTTTGGATCCAAGTAGTTTCATTAACTGATTTTAGCAGCAGTGCTTTTAAAAGCCACTGTTTGGAATAAAGTTAGGAAAATCACATGCTTAGGTAATATAATGTGAGTGGGTTTAGGTTTTGAGTTCCACTAAAACAGGCGTATTCCAAAGGACCCACAGTAAATATAATTTCTCTTCCCTTCAGCAATTGAGTCTCCCATACCATGCACTAAATGCTCTGAGGCTTTTGCCACTAAGAGGTGTATGAGGTTTGATCTCCTCAAAGTGAAATCCTGAGTCACTCTGTATATTGGTAACTCAGTGAGTAGGGAATTGTGGACATCAATTCATGGATCGGTAATTGAAGAAATGCTCAACTTTTTCAAAGTTGTATTTTTAAAAGTGTCGAAACCAACTGCACATTTGAGTTCAATGCATTATAATTTGATATGTATATATTGAATAGCATGTAACATTCCAGAGAAATTGCAATACCACTAAAGCCATCACACGATACAGCTATTCTTCAGCAGATGAATATCGGATTTGTTGTGCTGTCACTGCCATCAACCACAATTCACTACCCCAAGGGCCACCAGTAAAGAAACTTGCTTTTTTTTAAAAAAAGGCATACACTATACTAAGTAACATACTAAGGGATGAATTAAAGGTTTTAATCATATCAATGGGTTCAGATTTCAGATCACAAATCACTTGAGCTTTTGCTGTTGTGGTTTATGAAGTCATCTGAATGCCTTGATTGAATTACAGCCTTTTAACTGACATTTATCTGTTGGTCTATGTTTACTGTAGGTATACGTTTACAAGACTTTGTAATCAAAGTAGAACCAACTTGTCAAATCTTTATTACTTTCTGACATTTTCCATCCCATCCCTCCAAAATAATTTTGAGCTGGCAATGTCAAATTGTCAATTAAGGTATTTTCAAAGCTTGAATGAGATTTCAGTTCTGATTTCATTTTCAAATCCATATAATTTATGCGGAAGCCAATGTAAACTCAAATTTTCCCTGTATAGCTGATCAGTCAGTAATTATTGATCAAAAAATATACAATTTGAGTACATATTTATTCATATGCAAGTTTACATCTGTTTTCCTATTGAGGTACCCTACTGCTTAATTCGTCAAATGCAAATGTTAACAACTATGTTTAATTAGCTGCTACCGAAATTTCCACAAGATTGAAAGATCAGATATTACAATTAAAATTACTTTTCTACATATTTTTTAAATGTACTGTAGATCAACTTGAATATTTTGAAAAATGTGAATTGCCCGTTCCTGCTTGGTTTGGGCTTTGAATTGAAATTGCCAATAAAATTGCTCCACAACATGGAATAATTTCCGGATAATTCAAAATAACCACAATGAATAGAGATAAAACAATTGCACACAAGCTCCTGTTGGATACATTAACTGAAACTTGTATTAAATTTATTGTATTTAAATTTTTTTATTTAAATAGAAACTTGTATTGTATTTAAGTTTATACATTAACTTGTATTAGCTTGATACAGAAAACAAAGAGCATACAGTGTTTAATATTGCAGTTTAAAAAAAGCCAGTGAACAGGTTGAATAGCACTTCATGCTTATAATGCACATTACTGTATTGTTGATGCTGACATTGCTATAAAAATGTACAATTTGTTTGTGCATCTATTGTATTCACAATGAAGACAAAAAGAAGTTGGAATTTTTGGTTTCTTCCCAATTTTGATTTGAAATGGGCACATTTTCACTCTAGTTTGTAAAGTGGAAAACAAATTGTTTCCCTTTAGTTGATAACAGGTCTTTTGCTGATTAGTCTAGACTGCTATAGATTGAAGGCCAGAAACTTTGTATTATAATTATATTTATTTCAATGGCACACAAGTAAAACAGCTCCAGACTTATTGCATTGACGTCTGATTATGATGTTACTTTGAACTACTTGTACATTTGACTCTCAGAGATGGTTCAACTATACCTGGAGCCAAGGTTAACTGAATAATTCTTGTAGCTACATTCTTAGAAACGATTGGCTTGAGGGAAAACTCAACAAGACAAGCAAGTTAATAGCATTGTGATCTTTAATTTTTGAATCAGAAGGTCTGATGCAGCTGATGGAAATAATGGAGACAATAGCTCTTCTGAGGACGAACAGATGAAAATTGTAAAGCCCAAGATGGATGGTGTACGTAATATGAACAATCTTCCAATTAAACATGAAAATACTGATCAAGAAGAAACTGCAACGCTAAGTTTGCTTCCCACCCAGGATAATGGCTTAGAACACAGACTCAGTCAGGAGGCAAATGTCAATGAAGCCACTGGGGATGATGATGATGTGCCAACAATACACTTTACACATACGATGGAACCCAAAAGGGTAAGTATTTATAATTTGTCATTTTTATTTTCTCCAAATATTCTTCTCTACAAGTATTACACCCTGTTTGTACTGCTGGAATCTGGAACAGTATTACTTAACAATAAAATAACGTTGCACAGAAAGCTTGATTTTGGCACTTAATTTCAGTGGATGGGGCTGAGTAGAATTCTGTATATACATGACATTGCCATATTGGGTGCCATTAATTTAATGTTATTTAATAAAATATTTAGAAATGGTTCCTTGAGCACTACCAACAATACTGAAGGAACCATTTGCGTTCGCATTTGGATATTTATTCAGTTATTAAGAATAAATATCCACCCAATGATCTTTTGGTTCTAATTTAGGACAGGTTTTGTTTTATAGAAAAAAAGCTTTCAAGTTCATTGTTGAAAACTGTAGATTCTGATCAAAAGCTTTTTTCCATTTCCTAAATTTTGAAAATTCAGATTATACTGCTGGAATTAAATAAAAGCTGATGCCGCTTCAGTTTTTAATAACGTATGATGTTAATTCAGATTGAATCTGGATTAGTTCATATATTTATTGTTACTGTTTAACTATAATAATCTCCTTTGGTATTTTTCAGTAGTTTAATTTAGCCATGTGACCTTACTCCAGTAGTTGGGGGAAAAAAGAGCAGAAAAACTATTTTGTGCTAATGGTGCTTGTAATGTCCTAACTCCATTGATTTAAGTAATTGAATGCTGTGAGGAATTTGCTTTAAAAAATTGTAATTCAGAGTACATTTATACATTTTCCTTCCTTAATAATCGACATAGCAACTGAGATATTCAGAAATATTCCATGTACTGTTCTGAGCAAAGAGATGAAAGGTTAACATTTTACCCGGAGGTTCTGTTTGTAATAGCTTTCCACTTAATAAGCTGCAGTATGCTTTGTTGATGCTGAACACTTAGATTATTTGTTTCTCAATATGTCTTTGGAAATTGATATTTTCAGGTAAGGATAAACACAGGCAGGAACACAACCCTGAAATTCAGTGAGAAGAAGGAAGAGGCCAAACGTAAGAGGAGAAACAGCGATAGCAATGGCAATGGAAACTCAAATCCGGAACTGGCAAATATCAAATCGCCTACAGATATTTATCGGTATTTCTAGTCAGCTACCTTTTCTAAACATCGCTTTTTTTTCACAATGCTTTAAAATCAGTTAATCTAAATAAGTTATGCAGCTTCAATGATTCTCAGTTGCTGACAATTGCATTGTTTTCCTGTAGAATGTTTGTCGACGTTGTAAATGGAGAATACTTTCCTCGTAAATCTATTCTAAAGTCACGCAGCCGGGAAAACAGCGTTTGCAGTGACACAAGTGAGAGCAGCACAGCTGAGTTTGAAGATAGGCGGTGCACCTTACGATCACTGAGTTACGAGGAAGCAACATACAGCGATGCTAGCGAGTGCAGCGTTTTGGAGGAGGAAAATCTTGCAAGTAAACCTCATCCTTGTCCTGGTTTATTTGAGGTGAGGTGATTCTGACTTATTGTTTTTTTTACTTCTTTGAGAACTTGTTTACTGAGTATCTATTTGCTTGTAGCTCACAAGCTGCAACAAATATGTTTATTTGAAGAGTATGTACTGTTCCTATATCATCAACTATTAAATAATATTTGTGAACAGTGATTACCACCATGTGACAGCTATTTATCAAGATACATGAAGTATGAAATCTATTTGGTGTACAAGAGATAATATCTGGCTGGTCCTTTCTCATGAGATAGCAGCTTCTTGTTCATTGTAAAATTTCAGCTACAGACTTGCGGTTTATTGGGCATTAGTATTTTGCTCCTGTAAGTATTGTACAGTAAAAGTGCTGGTGTATAAAAATCTCACTTAAATTGTATAAATCACAAATACTAGCACTTAACTGTTTAACTACCCGGTAAAATAACACTCCACAAAACCCACTATAGTTTCCTACAAATTCTGATTCTTCTCTCAAAAAGTGCATTGTAATGTGCTATAAATAAAACATGTACAACATATTTATACCGAGTGAGAAAGCACTTAATTCTTTTGTTTTTAAATCTAATATTTCTCATTTTTAACAGGCATTTTCAGGCACTGTAGTGGAAAAGGAACTTCTCTCGCCTTCATTTATTCCACATCCTACTATTGCTCATCCCATCCTACCCACAATACCTGAGAAGAAAGTGTCTGAAGAGGACAGTGCATCTGAAACTCCACTGGAGCCTCCAAAAAGGGTTTCAAAATTCAAAGCTGCCAGGATGCAGCAGAAAATGTGAACTATCCTTTGGAACAGTCTGTTTCAAGTTTTTGTGATTGTATTAAAAATGGATGGACATGATGTCTACAAAGTCCAGATTAAGATAGACAAAAACCCATCACAAATATCTGTTTAAAAAGCATTTTACAACACAGTGCATTTAGTTGAATCTTCCTGTTAATCTTTGGTCAGTTAAGAAAAAAAATAGAAAAAACCTTGGAACTTGAATGGTTACACTATGCAGCATTTTCTAGCCATATTTAAGTTCTGATAGTTGAGCCATAAAGCACTTTTACACGAGTGCTCCTTTGTTTTCATTATAAATTGTCAAATTCAATCTCTTAAGATTAATGATTTATTGTGCAGTCTATTCAGCTTAGCTGTGTTTATTCTATTGATGTAGCACATAAATCAAAACTTTTGCTTCTTTCCATTTTCAAACTGTGAACTCATCCAGATTTGCATACATTTCTTCAACTCTTTGTAAAAATGTTCACTGGAAATTGACAAAACAGTATTGTGCATTTTTAATAAACTTTTGCATGTCAAAGCACAACTGTATACATCTATGAATAGGTATTTTCCTATATGGGTATCTTGAGTGGTTGTAGTTTGCAGTGATTTTGTATAGCACAGTAATTTGTTTTGGGTAGTTTTCTCTACTATGAGTGTCGGCCTGTCTCAGCTGGTCACACTCTTCTGAGCAAGAAGGTTGTGAGTTCAAGCCCCATTGTTGGGCTGTTGAATTCCTAGTCTATGCAGTCTTGGGGAAGTGTCCTTTGGATGATACCTTAAATGAATATTCTGTCTGCCTGTTCAGGTGGACATTAAGGATCCTATGGCCCTACTCAAAAAAGAGAAGTGAATTTCTTTAGGTTTCCTGGTGAACAATCCCCTTGATAAAATTGATCATTCATTTTCACATAAATTGGCTACTTAATTGGCTTAGAATACAGTCACTACAACAGCAACTTGCATTTATATAGCCTTCCCGCTGGATAGCGTCCCAGAGCGCTTGGCAGCAAACACTTCACAGGAAATCCTGTGACATGCTTTGAGACATTCTCCAGGCATGAAGGATGCGATATCAAATGCAATGATTAATTTTTATACCAGTCACGGCTGATTCTTTCCTCGCTGTACATCCACAATAAGTACACTTTTAATGTCTAGTGGATAGCAATTGGGATTGGAAAGTTCCCTTAACCCTCTCACTATATAGGGCAGGGGACACGGAGGCCAATTGCAGTGCCCCACTACTGCTCCAGTTGAAATTTATCAGATTTGAACCAGGAACCTTCTGGTCTTGTATGGCCCGGTGCTACACCAGGCAGTGCCTAAGGTACAGTAATTCTAAACGAATCATAGATACCTGGGAGAGATTTCAAGATACAGGTCTAATTTTAAGAATTTTAATGACTTGATAAACTGCAAAGAACAAGTCTTGAGCATTTCAGAATTTTTTTTTGAATTCTTGAATTAGATTACAACTTTGAAAGCACTCCCTCATAGCTGTTGTTTATAATACAATGTTCATGTAGGGGGTTTATGGTTTTTACAGTGGCAGATGTTGTAAGAAAGGATACCAGCTGTCAGTGCATTCAATGTCCATGTCGCTCATTGATGTTTGCACTGGAGAATTGTGATGCAATTGACTCCATATTCTTGATACACCTGCAGTAACCACAGGAATTTCTCTGTATATTATATATTGTGCCTATTTATACCTAGCGTGAGGCGCATCCATTTGTCATGTGGATGGATCAGTTTCCACACCATTTTTACATTTCAAAAACATTTCTAAAATACATTCTAAATAACCGAAAATCGTTATTGATTAAATATTTTAATTTTTTTTCTCTAGTGATGTTGCTTAATCTCCACTCTAAATGTAGTGCTGCAATTAGGATATTATTCTGTGAATTAGGGTTTCTTAATTACCTTTACCGCTCAGCTTGTGCTGCTGTTGGTATCAGTCACGGAGCAGTGCCATTGTGACTGATGTGTCACTTTGCTTTATAGAAGTTTGAGGTGAATTATAAACCCATTACCTTTTGTGAAAGTTTTTCACAAAATCCTGAATTCACACCTTTAAAAGTACGGAATGAAACAAAACTGGTGTTTTAGGCATTTTTTGCCAATATTTAAACAATTATTTTATCACAAAGAAACATTTCTTGTATTTACAGTATTTTGACAGCATCACCAAACAGCTGAGCAGATTAGTGGACTGTTGTGTATAACAGTATACTTCTATCTTGGGTATCTTTGTAAGAACAATGTTGCCTGCACAAAATTGTCCTAATTTTAGCCACAAGGACTTCTAATACAGTACATTGGTCAGAACCCATCTGAACTACTGTATGCAGTTGTAGTCCTCTTTTGAAACACATACTTGTCGTTGAGCAGTTGCAAGTCCAAGCTTGTGTGATACTTTCATACAAAAGCCTAAGCTTTGGGAAATTTATGTACTAAGGATACATTAAGCAAGAAGGACCTGCTTTCTTTGGGAAAGAGGAGACTGAGGTGACTTGGTAAAAGTTTTCAGGAAGATTGATAAGATTGATCCAGACAAATTATTCAATATAGGAAAGGTTTCAAACAGCAGGGAGATAAACATTAAAAATTAGGAAGTTAGGTGTAAAAAGGGAAGTCAAGTGAAACTTAGTTTCATCAAGCGTAATAGACTTGTGGAATAAATTGCCAGGCAAGACATTGAAGCAGACAGTCTAAATAGGTTCAAGAGGCAATTAGTCCAAATAGTTTATCAGTTGTCAGATGCTTTGGATAAGGTACACAGTGATTATATTTCTAATGAGATATAAATAGGTTATACAACAACAACAACAACAAGATTCCATTTATAAAGCGCCTTTCACGTCAGGAGGACGTCCCTATACGTCTGTTGTGAAATATAACGGTCCTAAGAAAAGTGCTTCCCAGGATTTACTATAAAGTGAAAGTTAGTGACTGTAGGTCACAATCTGTAGGTGAATTCATCAGCCAATTTGCACACAGCAATGTCCCACAAACAGCCATGATGTGAATGGCCAATTTTATCTGGCTGATTGTTGGCCATGGCACTGGGAGAAATTCCCTTCTTTTTTCGGATAGTGCTATGAAATCCGTAATGTTTACCTGAACAAGCAGGCAGGATCTCTGTTTAACATTTTGTCCAACGGATGGCACCTCCAACAATGCAGTACTTCTGAGATTATTGGAATATCAGACAGACTATGAGCTGAAAGTCCAAAAAGATCAACTGATAGCTACGGGGCATTACCATGTGCAAATTGTTTGTTGTGCATTTGAAGGGGAAGGTAAATTAAATTGCAGAGCCATACATAGACAAGTCAGGATCTTTATAGATACAACAAAAATAAGCAGCAAAGGATCTTGTAACCTGCACTTGCTCAATTTTAAGAAATAGCAGTGCCTACATATGATTTCCCACTCCCATCTACCATTTCAATCTTGATGAAGGGTCACGCCTGAAATGTTTAACATGATTTTGTCTTTCAGATGCTGATTAACTGTTGTGGATTTACAGCATTTGAGTTTTTATTTCTAATTTTATACTTTTTCTATTAATTTCTACAAAAATATTGGCTCATCCATTACTAAATTTACATGAGTATACTGCTGGCCAGTATGATCTGCATTCATTATAATTCTCTTATTGAATAATTTCCCCCAATATCTGTTGTTACCTCTGTTAGTGTTAGACAAGAATGGTGTGTCTTCTCATGTATTTTGTTATGGCTTTCCTTATGCAGGTTTGGTTTGTTGAATTTAACATGACAAGGCTTCAGCTACATTCGCTTGCCCTTTTTCATATCATTAAAAAGGAACTATTTGTTAGAAAGGCTTCACAAAATGTCTGGGTTCATAAGAGATCTGATGATCTCCTAAACAAAGGGAGGTTTTAAGGTTCCACAGGTATGCTGTACAGTATCTCAACTTGTGCTTTAATTATGGAAGCTGTTTGATTATCTAAAAGTGCATCAGCACAACATAACATAACAGTCAATGTTATGGACCCGAGTCGGGATTGGGGAGGGTGGAGGGCAAGGGGGGGGATGGAGGGTGATTGAACGCACTGTCGAAGGGTCTTGAGATGGGTCTTGAAGGAGGCAAGAGAGGGTGTGAGGTGGAGGGACTGCCTAATGGCATTCCAGAGGGTGGGGGCAGAGGCGGGGGAAGTAAAGCAGGCCGGAGCCCACTGATCGGAGGGAGTGGGCAGGTTGGTAGGGGGTTAGGAGGTTGCAGAGGTAGGGGGCAGCGAGGCCATGGAGGGCTTTGAAGGTAAGGACCAGATCTTGAACTGTATCCTCTGTGTGATGGGAAGCCAATGGAGTCGGGCGAGGATGGGAGTAATAGGGTCATGGAGCCTGGTGCGGGAGAGGACACGGACTGCTTGGACATGAGGACAGAGGAAACCGCTTACGCTTTGATCTTAAGCTTTTAAGGTATTGCCGCGAATCAAATCTTCATTGAGTTACACGCAGTGTTCTGTAGGACGTTCTGCTTTATACTGCATTTCCCATGTTAAAAGGTACTGACATATTAACACAGTTTCAGCATGGTTTTTCAGAAATTGTATTTATGTAGAAAAAGTATGTACTGTGAAATCCTTTAAGCTACTGTAGTTAACTGGTTTTATTGCTAGGTGGCAGCAGTAGGTAACTGTAACATCGACAGATGCCAAGTTAGTATCACAATTCATTGTCCATTTCCAGTTTAGACAGGGTGTATGGATTTGGTTAGTGTAATTATGTAGTCTTGAGTTGTTCCCTAGGCAACATTATTTTGGCCTCATCCGTGCTCCTGTACATCATAATATTCTCAGGTTTGTTGCCCTGCTGCCCACGATTTGAGGTCATTGACAGCATCATAAGGTGTTATCAACCATAAAAGGCTCAGCTGGGATAAAAATCACATATTGACACCACCAGTCAATAATCTCTCCACACTTCAACTGTAATCCAACTCCGTTTTAACAATTGTATCTAGTAAATATCTACAGTTCTTTATCTTAACTTTTCAAATGTAGAGTAGGGAATTTTATTTTTTATTGGGAAGTCAGGTTTCTTAAAATGTTCAAATCTAAAAGCCAAACAAAGGAATATATTTATATTCATATTATTTCCACATAATCCTGTAGGATGAAATTAGGTCCACGATAGGACACACTGCATTTTAATAGCCAACTTTGACCATGTATTTTGTGTGCTCATTATCTACTCAATTTCATAACTTTTAATTTAGTGTTTTTGAGTGATGATCTCTACAGCTCAAAAGCAAACTTCTGAAACATCTTCAAAATTGAACATTTTTAATATGTTTCATGAAATTCAATCTTACGTTATAGCTTGTAAAAGGTTAAACTTATTGCTGCAGTCTGAATATTTGCAATTTTAACTCAGTGCTGCATTTAGGGACAAATTATTTATTTAGCATTAATCTTAGTATATGCTTGCATATGTGTGTGTGGCTAAATGTCTGTCAAGTTAGTAACACACTATGTTGTACTGTTAGGCAACATAAAAGTGG